CTCTCTGGATGTAGGTGAACAACAACTCCAAAACTCAAGGTCAATGCCCACCAAACCCTTCCAGTATTTTCTATTGGTCATGGGAGTTCTGTGTGCCAAGTTTGACTCAATTGCATTGTTGGTGGAGTTCGGAATGCTCTTTGATTGTAGGTGAACTATAAATCCCAACAACTCCAACTCCCACAGGACAAAATCAATACCCTCTCCCAATTCCACCAGTATTCAAATTTGGGTGTATTGAGTATTTGTGCCAAATTTGGTCCAGTGAATGAAAATACATCCTGCGTATCAGATATTCATAACAGAAGCAAAATAAGAGTTATGGAGTAGTAACGAAACAAATTTTATGGCTGGGGGTCACCATAACATGAGGAAGCGTATTAAGGGGTCATGGTAATAGGAAGGTTGAAAACCACTGCTCTAGATTCTAGTCATTGCTATTGACTCAATGAATTAAACCAATGGTTCTCAACTTGTGGGTCCTCAGATGTTTTGGCCTTCAACTACCAGAAATTCTAACAGCTAGTAAACTGGCTGGGATTTCTGGGAGTTGTAAGCCAAAACCCCTGGGGACCCACAAGTTGAGAACCACTGGGTTAAACCCTTGTGTCGGCAGGACTGCTGACCGAAAAGTCAGTGGTTCGAATCCGGGGACCGGGGTGAGCTCCCATCTATCAGCTCTAGCTTCCTATGCGGGGACATGAGAGAAGCCTCTCATAGCATAGGATGGTAAAACATCCAGGTGTCCCCTTGACAACGTTATTGCAGACAGCCAATTCTCTCACACTAGAAGCGACTTGCTGTTGCTTGTCGCTCCTGACACACACACAAAAAACCCAAAACCTTCAAGTCAATAAACCTGCATCAATCCATCGATTTTGTAAATCTGGGTTTAGCTAAGGAACAGAAATCAGATTAAGAAGTAGAAAAGTCAAAATCCCTATCCATTGAGAAAGATGCAGACTGATATAAACTAAACAAATGGGAGAACATCTATAGAATCCTCCTCTACTAATGCATCCAGGAAGCAGAGCTTGGTGTGAATGGTTTCCAAATGCTATTTAAACCCATTAGTAGACAGCTCCCCATGCACTCTTAATACAATCCTATGTGTGTTGTCGAAGGCTTTCATGGCCAGAATCAATGGGTTGCTGTGAGTTTTCTGAGCTGTATGACCATGTTCCAGAAGCATTCTCTCCTGACATTTCACCCCCAACTATGGCAGGCATCCTCAGAGTTTGAGGGGCCTATTGGAAACTAAGTAAGCGAGAATGTATTGTCGAATGCTTTCATGGCTGGAATCACTTGGTTGTTGTAGGTTTTTTGGGCTGTATGGCCATATTCTAGAAGCATTATCTCCTGATTTTTCACCTGCATCTATGGCAGGCAGCCTCAGAGGTTGTGAAGCCTGTTGGAAACTAGGAAAATTGGGTTTATATATCTGTGGAAAGTCCAGGTGGGAGAAAGACCTCTTGTAAGCATGAGGCAAGTGTGAATGTTGCAATTGGTCATCTTGATTAGCATTGAATAACCTTGCAGCTCCAAAGTCTGGCGGCTTCCTGCCTGGGGGAATCCTTTATTGGGAGGTGTTAGCTGGCCTGGACTGATTCTTGTCTGGATTTCCCCTGTTTTCAGAGTGTTGTTCTTTATTTACTGTGAACCGCCCTGAGTCCCCTTCAGGGTTGAGAAGGGTGGTATATAAATATTGCAAATAAATAATAAACTCTCGAGGAACCCTTTGTCGAGAGGTGATATGCTGTCCTGGATTGTTTCTTGTCTGGAGTTCTCCTGTGTTTGAGTATTGTTCTTTATTTACAGTTATAATTTTAGAGTTTTTTAAAAAATTGGTACATTCACACGTAGCTCCAACAGACAAGAGTTCTTTCTCCCACCCTGGACTTTCCATGAACCTAATTTTCCTAGTTTCCAACAGACCTCACAACCTTTGAGGAGGATCACAAAAAAAGAACCACAATTAAAGCCCTGGCAGACGGTGCAAAAAGAATCTGCGAACCCCACCTCCTCCAAGATGAACTGAACTACCTAAACTGGGCTTTACAGGCCAATGGATACTCCACCTCAGACATCAGAAGAGCTGCAAGATCGAGAACAAGCCAAGAGAGTAAAGACAGAGGAAAAGTGTTCTTGCCATACATCAAGGGAACCACTGACTGCATAGGGAAGCTGATGAAGAAACACAACCTACAACTATCTACAGACTCAACTCATTAAGAAAACCCAGCAAATGCTACGTTCAGCAAAGGACAAAAGCGATCCTCTCACCTCTGCAGGAGTCTACTGTATACCATGCAGCTGTGGACAAGTCCACATAGGGACCACCAAACGCAGCATTGCCCAAACATGAATCAAGGAACATGAAAGACATAGCAGACTACTTCAACCAGAGAAGTCAGCCATAGCAGAGCACCTGATGAGCCAAGCTGGACATCACATGTTATTTCAGAACACAGAAATGCTGGACCATCATGAGAAGCCACTGAAATCCACAAGCATGTGGACAATTTCAACAGAAAGGAGGAAACCATGAAAATGAACAAAATCCAGCTACCAGTATTAAACAACTCTAAAATCAGGACAGTAAATAAAGAGCAACACTCTGAAAACTAGGGAATGCCAGACATGAAACAATCAGGGACAGCTAATACCTCCCAACAAAGGATTCCCCCGGGCAGTAACAAGGCACGCCTAAAAACTGCCTGGCCTAATCAAGGTGGTCAATTGAAACATTCACACCTAGTTCCAAACAGACAAGAGTTCTTTCTCCCACCCTGGACATTCCACGGATATATAAACCCTACACACACACACACACATAAGATAGTTGTGAGTTTTCTGGGCTGTATGGCCATGTTCCAGAAGCATTATCTCTTGACATTTTGCCTGCATCAATGGCAGACATCATTAGAGGTTGTGAGGTCTGTTGGAAACTAGGAAAATTGGGTTTCTATATCTGTGGAAAGTCCAGGGTGGGAGAAAGAACTCTTGTCTATAGGAGATAGGTGTGAATGTTTCAATTGGCTACCTTGATTAGTATTTGATGGCCTGACAGTTTTTAGGTGTGGCTTGTTCCTGCCTGGGGGGAATCCTTTGTTCAGAGGTGATTAGCTGTTCCTAGAATTTTAGAATCATAGAGTTGGAAGAGACCTCGTGGGCTATCCAGTCCAACCCCCTGCCAAGAAGCAGGAAAATCCATTCAAAGCACCCCCAACAGATGGCCATCCAGCCTCTGTTTAAAAGCCTCCATAGAAGGAGCCCGCGCCACACTTTGAGGCAGAGAGTTCCACTGCTGAACAGTTCCCACAGTCAGAAAGTTCTTCCTAATGTTCAGGTGGAATCTCCTTTTCTGTAATTTTGTTCCGCATCCTAGTCTCCAAGAAAGCAGAAAAAAAGCTTGCTCCCTCCTCCCTATGGCTTCCCCTCACAGATTTATACATAACTATTATGCCTCCTCTCAGCCTTCTCTTCTGCAGGCTAAACATGCCCAACTCTTTAAGCCGCTCCTCATAGGGCTCGTTCTCCAGACCCTTGATCATTTTAGTTGCCCTCCTCTGAACACATCCCTGATTTTTTTTCTTGTCTGGAGTTCCCCTGGGTTTGAGTGGTGTTCTTTATTTAAAGTTATTTAATTTAATATTGGTACATTGGCTGTCCCCCACCACGCCTTGCTGTGGCCCAGTCTGGTGATCTGGAAAATAAAGTAATTAGAAAGTGTTGGTTTCTAATATATGATTTTTTTATGCTTGTGGGTAAACAGTATTTTTGCTGTCTCTTTGTCAGTGTTGATGTGGACAGTGTCTGATTTGGCCACCCTGGAACATGCAACATATAATTGTCCTTCTTTAGGAGTACCTTTCAAATCTATTATACTATATTTCTCTGTGTGTGAATCATATATAATCTATCTCTATCTATGGCAGGATGGCTCTTTGTCAGGAAGGTTTTGATTATGTTTTCTTCCTCTGGTGAAGGGAGTTGGACTGGATGGCCTTAAGTATGGTGGTTCTGTGTGTGAAGTTTGCCCCAATTCTGTCGTTGGTGGGGTTCAGCATGCTCTTTGATTGTAGATTAACTATAAATCCCAGTAACTACAACTCCCAAATGCCAAGGTCTATTTTCCCCAAACTCCATCGGGGTTCATATTTGGGCATATGGAATATTTGTGCCAAGTTTGGTCCAGATCCATCATTGTTTGAGTCCACGGTGCTCTCTGGATGTAGGTGAACTGCAACTCCCAAACTCAAGGTCAGTGTCTACCAAACTCTTCTAGTGTTTTTTGTTAGTCATGGGAGTCCTGTGTACCAAGTTTGGTTCAATTCCATCCTTGGTTGAGTTCAGAATGCTCTTTGATGGTAAGTAAACTATAAATCCCAGCAACTGCAACTCCCAAATGACAAAATCATTTTTTTTTTTTAGTAATGGTCCCTCCTTGGGTTAGTAGGTGTCGTGTGGCCAAATTTGGTGTCAATTTCCCCAGTGGTTTTTGAGTTCTGTTAATCCCACAAAGGAACATTACATTTTTATTTATATAAGATAGATTCACACCTAGAGTTCTTTCTCCCAACCTGGACTTTCCACAGATATAGAAAATCCCATTTTCCTAGTTTCCAACAGACCTCACAACCTCTAAGGATGCCTGCCATAGATGTAGGCGAAACGCCAGGAGAGAATGCTTCTAGAAGATGGCCATACAGCCCGAAAAACCTACAAGAGTGAAGATGAGGCATGGGCCAGCTTGGGTCCTCCTTCCAGGTGTTTGGGACTTCCACTCCCACCGTTCCTAACAGCCTCAGGACCCTTTCTTTTCCCCCTCAGCCGCTTAAGCGGGAAAAGAAAGGGTCCTGAGGCTGTTAGGAACGGTGGGAGTGGAAGTCCCAAACACCTGGAAGGAGGACCCAAGCTGGCCCATGCCTGCTGCAGATGCCACCAAGGTCTCCATCCCGCTCTGCCTCCGCCCCCCACTTGGGAAGGATGCCACTTACTCGTGGGAGGAAGGCGCGGGGCTGTAGAAGTCCAGCGCGTACCCGAAGTAGCTTCCCGGGGGTCCGCGGTACACGGCGCGCTTCTCTTGGTCCAGGTTGAAGGCGCCCAGCGGCGGGAGGAGCAGGAGCAGCCAGAGGAGAAGCCGCCTCCGCCGCCCCCGACGCCCCATCCTCCCCTCCCGGGCAGCAGCAGCAGCAGCAGCAGCAGCGGATCCCTCTAAGGGGCTCTCCCTTCCTCCTCCTCCTCCTCCTCCTCCTCCTCTTCCTCCTCCTCCTCCTCAAAGGGCTGCCTCGGGCCGCCGCCCGCCAGGAGATGGCATGGCGAGGAGGGAGGCGCAAAGCCATGCGCCCCTCCAACACCTCCAGCCGCTGCGGAGGGAGACGGCGGCCGAGGAAGGAGCGGAGCAAAGCGAGCGCAAGCGGGAACGGATGCGCCGGGCAGCGCCACCTGGCGGCCGCACTGCACTGCAGGGCAAGCCACGCATTGGGAAGAGACTGACGACTCATCACACTATATATTTGTTTATTGATTTACAACATTATATGTTACCCTTCTCACCCCAAAGGAGACTCAGAGCGAGCGGCATACAACATCTATATAGGTAAAGGTAAAGGTTATCCCCTGATATTAAGTCCAGTCGTGTCGGACTCTGGCATGTGGTGCTCAGCTCCATTTCTAAGCCAAAGAGGGGGCAGAGCAGCCTTCAATAGCCTGCAGCTCCGCCCCTGTCAACCACCTCCACCAAGTCTGGCCTCCTTAATGAGAGCATTCAACCCCCCCCCCCCAACTTGGTTGCTTTGCTACATCGGCTATTGCTGCAAGTAATGACAGTGTGAATAAATTGTCAATATTTGCTTGAGATAGTGCTTGCAGTTCTGGAGGGACTCTTATTTTTTGCGTCTCATAGACTTATCATGGGGATTTGGTTAACCAGTTAAAATTCATGAGTAAACCAGGTTTTTTTTAATCTGAAAAATTTTGGGGGGGGGGTTGAACCCCTAACCCCCCCCCCCCCGCGACAGGCCAGCATGACTGCATGGAGCACCGTTACCTCCCCACCAGAGTGGTACCTATTGATCTACTCACATTTGCATGTTTTCGAACTGCTAGGTTGGCAGAAGCTGGGGCTGACAGCGGAAGCTCATGCCGCTCCCCGGATTCGAACCTGCGACCTTTCAGTCAACAAGCTCAGCAACTCAGCGCTTTAACCCACTGTGCCACCGGGGGCTCCTAACAATAGTTACTGATGAAAGACTCAGTTGTTTTGTCTAATTGTGAGTGTGTTTTAATGTTGTTTAGAATTTTGAATAGATTTGTGCATACCTTGTGGGTTGAGGTATGTGCATGGTAAATTTGGTAAGTTTTCGTCGGGGTTTTTTCGCGTTTTGCTGTCCCGTTGAACGCCCTTTCTCTTTTTATATATATAGATGCTCTAGTCCACAAATATACAGTATTTTGCCTCTGAGATTTTTGCAAGCTAATTTTTGCAATCTAATTGGAGCTAATTTCTCTTTTCCTTCTTGTATGCCCCCAGAACTCAGCTTTACTCGAAGCATAACGAAGCAGTTGTATTCTGGGCATTCCTCTAAAATCCTTCTACAATTGGCATGGGTAAACTTTGGCCCTCCTGGTGTTTTGGACTTCAACTCCCACAATTCCTAACAGCCTCAGGCCCTTTCCTTTTCCCTCTCAGCTGCTTAAGGGCCAGTTTCTCTTGTAGCTTTGAGGATAAAAATGAAAGCAATGAGAAAATAAATCTTGAGGAGTGAAAATTAATGTTCTTTTTAAAACCCCAAATATTGTAGGGTGCATATATTAGGAGCCTGAAATTGTGAGCTTCAGGCAGAATGGCTTCTCCATTCTGCAAACCGGAGTGAATTTATTTCTAAGGTTAAGTGTTCTGCCCCATAGCTGTCAGCACTACCTTACCCTGACTCACCACGTTTGACTTTTGAGGGCTTCCTATCAGCCATAGTGTCAAGTGATACATGATCCGATAATTATGGGTCTACAATGAAATGAATACATTGGTGATAACTGATTGGGAGAGGCCTTTCTGATTCCAGATCAAGAAAATGGGATGGCCAAGTGGAATATGAGAAGTTACTTTAAAAAAGAATTGATATAGACATGTTGGTCCACCACCCCAAATAATTACCTGGCATTATAGCCACAATGTCACTTTTTAAAAAAAGTAATTATTTACTTTTCCACAGGGCCATTGCCCAAGATGTTTTATTTGACACTCCTCCCTATGTTCAGCAAGAGATAATACAGCCACACTTTGGGCTGTTGAGATGCTGACATTTTAAAATATATCCTTGTTGTTTCCAATGTTTTGGCCACAGCACTCCCAGTTTCATTTTTTGACTGATTCAGTTTTTAAAGTTCTGGAGAATTGGCTTTGAATCCTTTCTCAGCCACAGAAACCCACTAGGTGACTTTGGGCAAGAAAACCTCATGGGATCCTATATATCAGGAACATCTTGAAGGTATGCAATGGGTAGTAAAACCAATGTGTTGTCGAAGGCGTTCATGGCTGGGACCACTGGGTTGCTGTGAGTTTTCCAACCTGTATGGCCATGTTCCAGAAGCATTCTCTCCTGATGTTTCATCCACACCCAGCAGGCAGGCTTTGAAGCTGCAAGGCTATTCAATGCTAATCAAGGTGGCCAATTACAACATTCGCACTTGCCTCAAACAAACAAGAGTTCCTTCTCTCACCTTCGGCTTAGTTTCCAACAGACCTCACAACTTTTGAGGATGCCTGCCATAGATGTGGGTGAAATTTCAGGAGAGAATGCTTCTAGAACATGGCCATACAGCCCAGAAAATTCACAGAAACTCAGTAAAAATAATGTTTTTGAACTCTTCATTCACTGTATTATTTGTCCTCTCTTTTTTTCACTTTCCCATTTGGAAATATTTTATAGAAAGCTATCTATCTATCTATCTATCTATCTATCTATCTATCTATCTATCTATCTATTCATCCATCCATCCATCCATCCATCCATCCATCCATCCATCCATCCATCCATCTATCATCTCTCTCTCTCTTCCTCTCTCTCTCTCTCATGGTATCATCATCACTACTATTCTTCAGGGATCATCCAGAGTTTTGGAATGAGGTGTTATCTCTATGCAGATGATGTCCAAATCTGTCACTCCTTCTCACCTGTCACCAAGGAGGCTGTCAAGACTCTGAACCAATGCTTGACTGCTGTGTCGGACTGGATGAGAGCTAACAAATTGAAACTTAATCCAGACAAGACAGAGGTCCTACTGGTCAGTCGCAAGGCTGAACAGGGCATAGGGTTACAGCCTGTGTTAGACGGGGTTACACTCCCCCTGAAGACGCAGGTTCGCAGCTTAGCAGTGATCCTGGACTCATTGCTGAGCCTGGAATCCCAGGTCTCGGCGGTAGCCGGAAGAGCTTTTGCACAGTTAAAACTTGTGTGCCAGCTGCGCCTTGGGAAGTCTGATCTGGCCACAGTGGTCTATGCTCTTGTTACATCCCGAATAGATTACTGTAATGCGCTCTACATGGGGTTGCCTTTAAAGACTGTTCGGAAACTTCAACTAGTCCAAAGGGCAGCAACTAGACTACTCACCGGAGCATCATGCAGGGAGCATACCACCCCTCTGCTATGTCGGTTCCACTGGTTCCGAGCACAATTCAAAGTGCTGGTCTTGACCTATAAAATCCTATACGGCTGTGGCCCAGTGTACCTGTCCGAACGTATCTCCTACGTCCCACCTAGGAATTTAAGATCTTCTGGAGAGGCCCTGTTCTCAGCCCTGCCCTTGTCAAAAATGAGACTGGCGGGGACGAGGGACAGGGCCTTCTTGGTGGTGGCCCCCCACTTGTGGAATTCACTCTCTGGGGAAATTAGATCATCGTCATCCCTCCTCTCTTTTAGAAGGAAATTAAAAACATGGATATGGGACCAGGCCTTTGGGTAATCTGACAGCCTGACAAGGACAATGACGACAAGAGCTATGGAAATGGATTATGATAAGCTGAATGGAATCACTAATTACATAATTTGTTGAAACGATGGCCACCAGGCTGGCTTCTTTTCTAGTAGATTTTATTGTATTAACTCAATGTTTTAATTATTTATAATCACTGTTTGTTGTGTCTTTTATTGTGTTTAATTGTAGGCATCGAATATGTGCCTGCTGGAAGCCGCCCTGAGCCCCCCCTAGGGGGAGGAGAAGGGTGGGGTAAAAATACCCGAAATAAATAAATAATTAATCTACAATTGTGTCATTGCAGACACACATGAAGGGCTCAAAAGAGAGGAAGAATTAATTGTTTTGACACTGTCACTAGAAGGAAGGTTTTAATTGAATGTGTCCCCTGTACTTACTCAAGATAAGATCCTGCAATTTTTTCAATGCTTCTGTTTTTTTAATGGGAAGGGAAAAAAGGAAATACAAATGAAAAGCAGCAGCAGCAGCCACCCTGTCCCATAAACAGAAGGAAACAGTTACCTATAAGAAAAAAGAAGCCTATAATTGTGAAATATGAAGGGGCAGTTGATCTTGAACCTTTTCTGCTGGAATCTGGCGAGTGCCCTGAGATAAAGCAGGAATAGAAAAAGTGTCATTCCCCTCCTATAGAAATACCATGAAAACTGTTATCTCTCCAAAGGAACGTCTCCCAGCCTGGCCTGGGTTGAAAGAGGTGCAAAGGGCGGATTTCTGAAAGGAAACTCTGACCAAGACAAACAGACCTTGCCCCTCCAGAGGCTCTGAATTTATTTTACAGGGCCTTGCCCACCCAGAAGAACACACAAACAAAACAAAACCCTTAGTGCGACTTTAGCCTTCTTCTCATCCAAGTTAAAACAAAACAGGGCTGTCTTAAAACACAAGATAGCGTTTCTGCACTCCGAGACCTCCTCCCTTTGGTGCTTCAACTGCTCTCAATTTGCTCTTTATAGCAAGTCCAACTTCCTTTGGGGAAAATGCAGCTCCCCTTTGATCATCCCTTTCAGGCACATTCCTTGAAGGGATCTATTAATTCAAATTCAGGTTATTAATTGGGTCAATTGACTGCTTGTGTCTTTAAGACATGTAGACAAACAAGTGTCAAAATGAACTGGATTAATAACTGAATCCCCATAAACTTTAGAAGAAAGATAGGACGGTGAATGAAATTTGGGCTCATCGGGACGGGTCAAAGAAATTCTGCTGCCTGTTAGTCAACATCAGAGACACTGTCCCACTCAAATCGAACTGTAATACCTAAAATATTGTCAAATAATTTGGTTGTTATGAAATGGCAAGTCCCCAAGGTCCCATAGATACCTTTTCCCCTCTGCAATAGTAAAAAGTCAATGATAAATTTTATAACTGGACCATTTGCTGCCATCTTATGACCTCCAAAATCTGCTGCTTGAAGCAGCCACCCCACTCTATGGCCAGCTTTGCAGTCTGAATGTAATCAGTTCTAGACATGGGTCGATTTGGTCAGCTTATTGGATTATCTGTTCTGACTGAAAATTGTCCTGCAGGTTTCTCCAAAAATATTTTTTTGCAGCCTTATCACCAATACTCTTTCAAAACGAGATGTTTGGATGGACCTTGGGACCTATTTCATGCAAAGTATAGATGGGGCCTTTGATTTATAGTGCCTGATAGCAGGTTCAACTCACAGGTCATTGGGTGAAACAAACAAGCGGGTGTCTGGCAGAACTACAATGCTAGAGTTAAACATCCTTGCTAAAATATGTTAAATGCACTTTCAATCAGGGAAAACTCATTTGGCCATTTTGAAATGGTTGAAATAAAAATTCTTGACATCTATATGACCAATCGTAGCATTATGTTGTCACACCTTTTCACTTTAAACCAGTGGTTCCCAACCTTTTTTTGACGAGGGACCACTCTCCAACATTAATACCAAAAGGGTTACGAATCAGTTTTTTTGGCAACTTTAGATTTAGTTTGGTTATTTGGGTTGCCAGAAAATTGCATTGGACAGACCACATCAGCTGCAGTTTCTGATACAGAACATATGCCATCCAGTAGTCCGTCATCTGCTCACCCACAGAAAACCGTATTTAATAATCTAGAGCTGATGTGGTAGTAGTAATCTTTTGTGGGTACTTAGCCTCTCCCCTCCCGACATCCCCGTTGCCTCAGCACTCTGAGGGTTTTTGTGAGACCAGTTGCTCTTGTTGCTGCGTTGTTTCGAGGCAACTGTGTAGTAATGGTGAGGCTGCGGACCATATTTTCGTTCTTAAAGAGCACAGGTGGTCCATGGACCACAGATTGGGAACTACTGCTTTAAACCCTCCTCCCCATTGTTTCCCACTTGCTTGCACAGATGGCTTCTCTTGAGTCTCATTTTTTAAAAGCAATTTTTCATTTTGAAATAATATCCATTGAGAGAGTTCTCACCAAAGTTGTCTCCTTCAGGAATATCACATATAAAATTCAAAGTATGCTGAATACTGGTTAAAGCAATCTTCGTTTTGTAACACCACTAAAATACCGCTACTCTGAACAGCAGCAAAAACTACATTTCTGTATCTTCTCTCCCGCTGGGGGAACATGAGGAAGGAATAAAGTAAGTGGACCAGGGATTTTCAAAGAATATCTTTACTACCCACTGCACCACTTCAAGTTGCAGGACTCTGGCAGAGAAGGCAACAGACCTTGTAAAACTGCAACTCCTATGATTCGATAGCACTGTGCCATGGCAGTGAAAGTGGTGTCAAACTGAATTAATTCTACAGTGCAGATGTACACTTTGCTACCCAGACACTCCCAGGAATTAGTTTCTTGGCTTGACCTAAAAAAACCCAACATTTTACTCTTTACACAATATCCAGATAGTTACTTTGTGACACTTACATACCCTCACTGACAGTTCACCAGAACTAAACTTGGCACAGAGAAGCATGACCAACCAAACATACTGCAAGGGTTTGTGGGAATTGGCCTTGGCTTTGGGAGTTGTAGTTCACCTGCACCCAGAACGCACTGAACCCAGCGGAGGTCAGATCTGGACCAAACTTGCCATTAAGCCTCAACATGGCCAACTGTGCATACTGGTGGGGTTTGGGGGTGATTGCCTTGTGAATGTGGGAGTTGTAGTTCTCCCTTATTCAGAGAGCACTAAACCCAGGCGACGATGGATCCAGACCAAACTTGGCACACAGACTCAAAATGGCCAACTGTGAATGCAATCAGAGTTTGAGGGTGATTGCTCTGGAAATCTGGGAGTTGTAGTTCACCCTTATCCAGAGAGCACTGAACCCAGCAAACAATGGATCTGGACCAAAATTAAATGATATTACCTAACATCCCAAAACAAACAATGCCTTCTTCTAACAATCCAGGCACCGCCACGTCCCCCAGCTAGTAGGCAAATAAAAATCAGAGATGCAAAGAGAAAAAACACTAAATCATTTTAATTAAGTTTTTGTTTTATTTAGGCCTTGCTAGATAATAAATAATGGACTATCCTATGTGAATAACAGATGCTTTCATGCATGAAACATACAACTGTGCTGGCATATGTACTTTTCTAAGGATATAACGAGAAGAGGTATTTGGCAATAATAATATGAACATCTTAAAAATCATAGCACAAGCTCTCTCAGCTGTAATGTTCTCAAAACATATCTTTTATATGACTTTGAAAATTAATATTTACTTTTCTTAAATCCCACTCTGACGTTGAATGTACCCAGCCCGGTAAAACTTTGGGAAAAATACCACCATCAATAAATAGTGTTTATAATTTTATAGTTAGTCATATTTCAGAATTCACCATTTCTGCCATATTTGAATAAAACCATGTAGAGTTTGGGATATTTGGAAGAAAACAGCAGTCATTTAACTCATTCAAGCATATTTAGTGCAAATGCCAATCTAGTCCCAAAGTTATGATGCTATAGTATAGGCCACCATCCACTTGGAAGTTTCCCTGAACAAACCCCATAGGAATCAGTGGGGATTGTAAGAGCACCATCATGTGTTGCACAGCCCGTTTCCCAAATGGGTTGCACCCTAAGGCAGTCTGATTTAAATAAAAACATATGGCTGAACAAGTGTGTAAAGGAGTGAATACTATGATATTTAAGACAGTTTAAAAAAAGCTAATATGCAGATGCTGTACTACTTTTCTAGTCCCAGGTCCTTTTTAAGCTGAACAGGGAGGATTCTGGGTGAGAAACACACATTTTAACTGCACTACAGTGGCCAAAGAGGAACTAGTTGGTAAAAAATAAATCAGTCCAATTGTTAAAAAAATTAAATATTCTAATTAACACTGAAAAGGTGTTTTATTTACAGTTTCTCAGTGATACCAGTGTATAGCGACACAGTCAAAATATAGTTGGCTTGCTTTTTTTGTTTTTGTTTTTTTAAATACAGGCAGCTGCCTCCCATACCCTCATTCAAAGCATTGGACAGTAATTCATACAAAGTCTTCTCTGAACATCAATTTAATGAGGGGGACCGATCTGTGGTCCAAAGCAGTTCTATGTAGGGCCACTTTGTCTGCAAACAGCGCTTGATTGGAGTATCATCGGTTTGTAGCATTGGGTCTTCAAAGCCCATAATCATGGCTGTACCTTCAACGTACATGACCTGCCCAAAGGGAATTAATTTGTTTAGTCTGCGGTGGGAAAGAAACAGCTATTTCACGCTCAGAAGTACATAAAAGCTTAAAATTAACATTCTTTATCTTATTAGTCATATGGAATAAACTATCAGAAATATTAAAAATTACCTAGGTATTTTTAATTACAAAAATATGAGTCAAGCACTAAAAGGGTAAAATTGATACAATGATTCAGCAAAAGCTGCAGTTCAGTATAAGCAGGTGTGCATCTAGCTTAGTAGCATCAGTCTATGAGAGGTCTCTGTGGGAGAAGGGCCTCAGTGTGTTAGTAGGCCTCAGTATGAGAAGGCCTCAGTGTTAGTTTGCCTCAGTATGTGAGAGGCCTCAGTCTGAGAGAGCCCTACGTGAGACCTCAGTGTGAGGTAGGCTTAGTTTAGGAAGCTTTGGTGAGAGGAAGCCCCAAGTTGAAGGCCATCGTGTGTAAAGCTTCAGTGTGAAGGCTGCTGTGCGTAAAGCTATTGGTGAAGCTCCTGTGTAAGTTTGGTGTGAGAAGAGGCTCTGTGAGAAAGAAGCTGTTTATCTACATGAGAAAGAAGCCCAGTGTGGAAGCAAAGAAGTATAAAGAACTTAATTTGAGGTTATGGAAACCTTGTTCTTGTAAATAGTGCAACCGTATTATTTTAAAGAAAAGCCTCCTATGGAAGAGATAACATTGATCTCTGTAAGTGGTTTTTTATATCACTTTGGGGTTCAGTTGCTGCTGCTGATAAGTTACTCTGGTGTACATTCATGGGGAGGGTCTTTCATTAATAAGCCCATGCGCCCAACATAAACAACTCATATCATTCTTAGTATTCTTACTAAATATGATCCCTATATGTTGAAAAAAGAGATGCATTGTTTTATAGGGAAATTCTAAAGTTCTATTTAGATACAAGGCTCATGGTCTCCCCAAATGCAGCAAGATGCACCCCATAATCTAGCTTCCATAGCAGAACTCAGTATTTAGCCATATAAAAGAATGGCCTTTGATTTAATGTTAAGTGCCTACAATAACTACATAGCTAAGAGGAAACATTGCCTGTTTAAGGTTACACGATTCAGGCAGGTTTTAGCAGTACATTCTTTGGAAGTAATTAAGTAGAGTATCAGAGCATCATATGATAATGGAAGACAATTGTCTGGATAATTATGGATATAACTCTAATTTTTATTTAAAAAGACGCCTCCTCATCACTACTCTGTGACTCATGAGGGTTTGAGGGCTGCATATATCTATATCAATATCTATCTACACACAAACACACTTGAACCAATGCTGAATGTTGATAGCAGTCCATAAGTATAAGTTGAGCTGTTTAGGGTCAGAGTGAGACTGTTACTTTCCTTCATCTTAAACCACAGGTACATTAAGGCAGGGCTCTTCTTCTCTAAAAGACTTCATTTCAGATTGGTTGTCCTGCATATCTCCCTCTCTGTACAACAACCAATTATTCTCCTCTCTGTTTCTCTTATGGGTGTGATGGGGGCTGTCTATTTGGGCATCTAAATTTGACTGCTGAAAGGTACACTCTTGTTTTAAGTTACCAGCATGGAACCATGTGTATGCACATGTGTATATGGTCCTATTACCTAAGTATGGCTGAAGCATTGGTAAGGAAAACCTTACAGCAATGAGGGCGTATTAAGCCACAAGAGAAAAATGTTACCATACCTTTTCATTGTAATTAGATTGCTTCAATCCATTGTAGTGGAAGACAGGGAATGATTCCTGAACCTTTGAATCCTAAGAACACACACAAGATAATCAGTTTCAAAGCACAGTTTATTTCTTCCTTTAGACCACATTGATTTTACACCTTATTGTGACAAACGGGAGGAGAACATACAGGTCGAAAAAATAAACCAAGGTCAAAAACCACGCAAACTTGGCAGAGAGCAAGCCTCACTGAATATGCTACCCACTTTTGGGTAAACATGGATAGGATTGCAAAATCAAGATACTGTTACAGGCTCTAGAAATTTGAAACCTGCCTCTTAGCTCACGCTGAAGCAAAGAGCACAGCAGGGGAAGAGCAGCCTTCAATCGCCTGCAGCTCCGCCCCTGTCAACCACCTCCACCAAGTCTGGCCTCCTTAATGAGAGCATTCAACACCCCCCCCCCAACTTGGTTGCTTCACTACATCGGCTATTGCTGCAAGTAATGACAGTGTGAATAAATTGTCAATATTTGCTTGAGATAGTGCTTACAGTTTGGTTATAACCAAATTATGAGTAAACCAGGTTTTTTTAACCTGAAAAATTTGGGGGGGGGGGGTTGAACCCCTAACCCCCCCCCCTCGTTACAGGCCTGATCCCCATATGTTTGGCCTTCAACTCTCAGAAATCTTAACAACTGGTAAACTGGCTGGGATTTCTGGGAGTTGTAGGCCAAAACACCTGGAGATGCACAGGTTGAAAACCACTGCCCTAAACAGTTCTGGCCCTACCTGTCCGAACATATCTCCCTCTATGAACCACCTCGGAGGCTAAGATCTTCTGGAAAGGCCCTGCTCTCAGTCCCACCTCCTTTGCAGGTGTGGTTGGTAGGGGAAGAGAGGCAGGGCCTTATCAGTGGTGACTCCCCGACTGTGCAACCACCTTCCCAATGAAATCAGATCAGCTCCCTCCATCCTGATTTTTTGAAAGAAACTAAAAACCTGACTATGGGACCAAGCTTTTGGAGAGTAGTCACTGCTCTCAATAGGTGGCTATGAAGTAACTAACATAATTGGAATGGCTCCTGGATCTTATGACTTTGGATCTTGTGTGGTTTTTAATTGTTGATTTTAATGTATTGACATGCTATGATTTTTAAAAAATGTTTCTGATTTTAATGTATGTGTACATTATATTTGTATGTTTATGTTTGTATAGCATTGAATTATTGCCAATTTGGAAGCCATTCTGAGTTAGATATAGTGGGGTACATAAATAAATAAATAATGTTTAGGGAAAAAGGAAAGGTGAAAATTGTATGTGATTTATATTTCCAGTAGTATTTCAAATGTTTTCAGATACATAGCATACAAAATGGGAAGGAGGTGGGGAGAAAACTGAGGCTAGAGAAAGAAAGGACAAGGGAATTGAATACAGGCAGTCACTGAGTTACAAACATCTGACTTAGAAATGACTCCAAGTTAAGAACAGTGGTGAGACAATAGGAAGTAAGAGAAATCTTCCCCTCAGAAGGGAAATTCACTCTGGAAGAGTTATCATGGCAAAAAGGTGTCTCCACTGAAGCTTTATCACCAATTCTTGTTTCTACTACATGCCAAATTTTTTCAAAATCCAATTGTCACAGGGACAGAAAGTGAGGCGAAATCTTCTGAACAGACAGTAAAACACACGCCAGAGTGGTGTTAACCCTTCTCTGTGCTATCCAAAATTAAAACTATATATATATATATCTTCTGACTTACAAACAAATTCAACTTAAGAACAAACATACAGAATCTATCTTGTTTGTAACTTGGGGACTGCCTGTAGCTTGAAACTCTATGCATACATTAATAAACTGAATGTATCACTGAGCACATACGTTTCAAATGACTTATCAGAGAAAAAGAAATATATGGTTACACTACCTGTTCAGGGAAAAATTCTTGGAGAAAAGGACCCAGTAATATGATTCCCAATCCTTCTGGATCTAATTTTGCCTTCATGAGATTGATACTATGATAAAAAAGATAAGGAACACAAAACACGGTGGATTTGTATTCTTGCATGACTAAGGGCTGTAGCTCTGTAACACTCTTAACTGCCAAAAACAATCAAGCTGTTGTGCTTAGAGTCTTAATGACATATGCAAAGGAATGGGATCTTGTGGCCAAAACAGAGTTATTTTTAAACCAAAGTAATCTTATTTTAAATCAAAGTAGCAACAATAATTGAAATACTACGCCTTATTAGGTAAAGCTTTCAGAAAAAGGCACACTGACTAATTCCTGGGATTATATTCCAGAAACTTAATGGATACGGCAGACAGCCTTGAACATACCCATCATCTCTTGAACTGTCTTGCAAAGACCAAGCTTTTTGAAAGTGTATTTGACACAACATAACAGAAAGAGGGAAGCCGGAGTGGAGAATGTTAACCATTTTGATGTTTTAGACTATGATTCCCACAATCTCTTACCATTCATCATGCTGGGAAGAAATAATGGAAGTTGTCAGCAAAAACCAGCCTATTCCTGGAGCACCAAGTCTGAGTAAAATTCTGTATCTACCTGTATGATGTGCTTTGCATTCAGGTTGCCTGAAAAACATAGCTTTGTGTGTCTCTCGACAGCTAAAACTGTATCTAATTCTTTCTATAACAAATAGTATATTTTGGCAGGCAACCATAGATTAGCGTAATCTATTTAACATGTGTTTTGGATTTAAAAATAAAAATGCATTCAGTACATTAAGCAGGCAATATCCATGCCTAAACCAAATGCATTTTGCACTACATAGCCCATGATCAAAATCAGATTTGCCAAAAGCTCATACTGTACTGTAGTTCAAGACCCAGTCAACGACTATCTCCTCTAATTGAGGAGGAAAAACCTAGCCCTTCCTGAATGAATTGCAATCAACAGAACAAAATTGCACTCCTTACAATGAAGTCTTATTATGGTCTTAAACAATAGGAGTTAATTTACACTTACTATTCAGGTTCTGATACAAGGTCCAAAGCCTTCATTACATCTTCTAGAAGTGTGTCTGGTATAAAGCCATTATCTGGAGTGGGGTGAGGGGAGAAGGAGAAATAAAGAGTTTTTCAAGACCTGGTAGATGTCTTTAACCTAAAGTGCTTGTATGTTGTCGAAGGCTTTCATGGCTGGAATGACTGGGTTGCTGTGGGTTTTTCGGGCTGTATGGCCATGTTCCAGAAGCATTCTCTCCCAATGTTTCACCCACATCTATGGCAGGCATCCTCAGAGTTGAGAGGTCTGTTAGAAACTAAGTAACTGAGGTTTATATATCTGTGGAATGTCCAGGGTGGGGGAAAGAACTCTTGTCTGCTAGAAGTACATGTGAATGTTGCAATTGGCCACCTTGCATTTTATTGCCTGCAGTTTCAAGGCCTGGTTGGTTCTGCCTGGGGGAATCCTTTGTTGGGAAATATTAGCTGGCCCTGATTGATTCTTGTCTGGAATTCATTTCCTTTTTGAGTCTTGCTCTTTATGTAATGCTCTGATTTTAGAGTTTTTTTTAAATACTGGTAGCCAGATTTTGTTCATTTACATGGTTTCTTCCTTTCTGTTGAGATTGTCCACATGTTTGTGGATTTCAATGGCTTCTCTGTGTAGTCTGACATGGTAGTTGTTACAGTGGTCCAGCATTTCTATGTTCTCAAATAATATGCTGTGCCTAGGTGATTGTATGGTTAACAGAAACACTTATTCTGTCTTCAGGCCTTTCCACACAGCCCAGAATATCAAGGCAGATAATCCACAACATCTGCTTTGAACTGGATTATCTTAGTTCACACTGCCATATAATCCAGCTGTGTGGAAGGGGCTCCTGTGCAATACCATTGTTTCTTCTTGGATGTGGCCTTTTCCTGGATGTCTCCACTTCTTCAATGATTTGTAGGAGACTTTATTATCTTGCAAAATGGAACTACAACAACAATGAAATTTTACTGCATTAAAATCTTTGTCCTGATAGTCTTGAAATAATGTGGGCTGTACATCTAATAAAGTGTAATTGAACAGATGTCTAGACATGTTTCTAACTAGAGAATATCAATCCTCCAAGAGAGAGCACCGAGTAACCTGAAGTTTCATTTGAGGAACCAAGCTACAAAGGAAGTCAGTAGCTAAAAGAAACAAAAATATATGAGTACATCTGCAAATATGTGTTTAGTGTTAGTGTATATTTATAGTTATTTTATGTTCCGGCATGGAATGTGTGCCATATGTATGCTGTGCTCCACCCTGAATTCCCCTTCGGGCTGAGAAGGGCGGAATATAAATGTTTCAAATAAATAAATAACAAACAAATTTGGATCATCACATTTCATATTATTAAATGACAGTGACCTGAATGCACATCCACTGAAGCATGTGTATTTGTGTCTCCACCATTTAATAATATGCAGCATGAACACTCACATTTTTTGTTGTATTCACATGGGACCAAATCTCAACAGATATGGTGGGACCACTGTATAAATGTGACACTAGTACCTGAACAATTTAAATACACACACTGGGAATGGATAATAATAGAATAACAGATATTTACATATTTTTATTACTTCATTATCTTTAAACCACAATTGGCAACAAGGTAGTGATTTTTTTAGCATGAATTTCTCAAATGCTGTATTTACCCCCTGACTTTTGGATTTTAATTTTGCACACTTAAGTGTGAATTCAATGGGAGGACATATCTCACCTTCAGGATCATATGTTTGAAAGACACGCCTGGCTTGTTCTGAGGGAGCTTCAGGAGCAACAAGTGCCAAATCCTTAAGAGAAAAATTAAAAATTGCACAAGACTAAGTACATCTTTGTAAATACTTCTCTTAACTAATGAAATGCATGTGCTTCTGAGATGGATCATATAAAATGCAGGTTTTCTTAAAAGCTACAATTGTTACTACTATATTTTATGTTGTTGTTCATTTATAGTCTGCTTTTCTCTCAACAATGGAACCCAAGAAAGGCCTCTCCTTCTTGGAGCTCTTAGGACTCCTTCAGCTTGCCCACTTCTTTTTGTCTACCGTCACAGTTTCAACTCAGCATCTGTATGCTTGCCCACAATGCCCTGCCTCATGGACAGAGGAAGAACTGTTTAAAGATACAGACAATACGGTTGATGTTGCCTGTTTTTGGTCTAAAATTATTTAGCTGCTTGTGCTCCCTTTATATTATCAGTTTTATACTTATTTATGCAATGTTTTTGACACAAAACAAATAAATCTACCACCACAGTCATTAAAAAACATGCCTTCAAATGTTAGGGCATTAAGATTTTACTGGATCTGTGATACATTTTGTTCATGTGACAACTCTTTTTCTAAACAATGGATAAAGAATATCATTTCCCAAATCAATACTGAGCTTACTGTTAGAGAAAGAATATAAAATTGAAAGTCCAAATAGGTCTTATAAAACACAGGAATACTCCATCATATTGAACAAGCAGGCCAGGATTGTTCTGACCAAAACCAACAGCTTCAATAATTTTTGTCTTGTAATCTATTACTGAGGTTGTTGAGATGTCCCTTTTGCAAAGTAGAGCAGCCTGTTTCTACAGTCCTGTCTTACACTACATTTCTTCTGCAGAAAGTTTTTTTTATCCCTCCTTCCACAAACAAGCGCAGATTTGATTTTTGCACCTTGTATAAATTCATTTCCTTTGGGAAACAGTCACACAAATGTATTTTGCCTGCCAAAGTCCCACAGTTTTTGCCAAACACAAGCTTCCACACTTCACAAATCATTTGAAAACTTCCCAAATCTTGACTTAGCCATAGAAGGAGATCCTGCCTGCCATGTACCAAACATTACTATCAAGTACACCATGTCACAGAGGCAAAAAATAGCCTTTTCATATTTTGGATCTTGTGATATTCCTACTCAAAATAATAGCTCTGTTTGAAATACTTTTCGTATTTAAATACTGTGTTTATTTTCGGGCCTTATGTTTACCCTTGAAGGCAAGTACACACACCACTAGTAGATTACAGTGAAGATTTCTCAATTGTTTACATTCTTAATAATCAAAAACAGCACAAACTGTATAATAACTACAGTGCAGAGAAACCTTCCAGGAGTTTTAAAGCATAATATTGTTTTATTTTAATGTTCTAATCCATTTACTCAAAATGAAATTATTTCAAACAATACCAATTAGGAAAGAAAATTCACACAGATTTCTCAAACACTTAAATCTAATTAAAGTCTGTCAATGATATCAGTATGGATTCTGTAAAGGCTTAGGATAACATGGACCAAAAATTACCAAAATATTCAACATTTTGAAGATCCAGTCTGGCACCAGTCAAATATATTTTGAAAATCAATGATTGAAGTATAACTCAGTTACTCATTTATACTTTTGTTACACAGCGGCTACTTTGGACATTAAATTCTGTAAACCTGTGTTTGAAAAACCCAAAACAGAGATGACTGTAGTTCAGTTTAGGATGATCACAATGACTGAATTAAGTCCATAAGCCAAAGGAAGTTTTAGTTTTAGGTTTTGTTATCCCGCCCCCCCTGAATAGCCTTTTCTACACGGCATTTAAGGGTAAAGTTGAATTTTATACAGTTAACAAAGTTGCTGTAATTTACTGCATTTCCTTTTGATATGTAATCACCAAAACTCTGAAGTTGGAGGATATGCACGGAAACCCTCTAAGTGACCCTGGGCAAATCACACTCTCTTCTATGAAGAAGGCAAAGGCAAACTTTCTCTGAATAAATCGTGCCAAGAAAATCCCATGATAGGTTTACTTTAAGGTCATCATAAGTCAGATATTACTTGATGGCACACAACAATGGTTACAGTGGCAACATCGGTAACTTATTCACAAATATATCTGGTCTATATTAATTATTATGAAGAGGAAATACAAGATAAATTCAATAAGACATTATCATCTGTGATGTACACATAGTTCTTCTTTGAAAGCTAACAATCTAATTTAGATATATATTGGAATATTTGTATAATGCCTGACGCAAAAAAGTAGCAGAGAGAATCAATGGATCAGTAATCCTTCTACAAGTAATATTTCATTTTCAGAATGCTTTTATGCACTCTTTTGTCTGAAACTAGTCCTCCAGGCACTCTTTTATATCTGAAACTACTGTTTTTGATACAATCACAAAAGCATTGTTCTTTATATAAGTTTATCTGAACACAAGAAGAGAATTTCTTGCCGGTTCAAAGAATACAAAATGGATTTGAAAGAGTTTTAGCTCAACTGTAAAGAATGAAACAGGATGCTGTATACAAGGCTTTAAGCCGCGTAGGTGGGCAGTCCACAGCTGTCACATGCATTAGTGTTTTCATGATGATCAAATGGCTAACAGGAGACGAACACATTTCAGTAAAGTTCTCTCATCCATATAATTATGCCAATGTCCACAAAGTTTCAGCCTGTCTATTAGGCATATGTTTAGATAATTAAAAGTCATCTGAAAAGCACATAACAGGCTACAGAAAGCTAACTGTGTATCTCTACAGCCTAATATTTTGTTCCCAACTGACTTACTGTACAATCAGCCTGCCACATTTGCTGGGGTTAGTGGTGCAAGGCCCCTGCAAAATCTCTGACAGAAGCTGATCATAGAGTCGTATTGGAGGAACCAGAGATTCCTAAAGAACTTCAGTCAAATCCACAAAAGTCAAACTTGCAAATATAGAGGGACGTTTGTCTTGAGAACAAGTATCATCTGCTATTTGTTATAATTTACAGAAGTTTTTACTATATTAGATCATATAACACATCAACATTCATACTCACTATTAAGTTGGATTGTACTATTTACTAAAGGGAGAGGGGCCACAATGCAGGCATGGAAGCACAGTTCTTTGGATCTTGACCAGAGAATAATATATTTGGAGAAATACAAGAACACTTAAGGGTCTAAGAAAGGCCATATCCCACTTTCTACTTCTTGTTGTATGTCTTCAAGACAGTTCCAAGTTATGGTAACCCTACACTATCATGGAGGTTTACTCAGAAGAAGTTTGCCACCATCATCCTTTGAGGATGACAGAAAGGTCTTGGCCAAAGTGAGGATTTGAATCCTGGTCTACCACAGTCCTTATCCAGCACTTAAACTACTACACTGTGATGGCTGTTCCATCTTCTTTCTGTAATAATTATTATTTAAACTCACTGTATAGTTTTTTTTAAAAAAAATTAGACATTGAATGGTCATTGAATTAATGGCAATATATTTATTCTAGTTAGGTAATTACATAATTGAAAGGAAGGGACTGCAATGCCCATGTGGTTTAAAGTCCCGCCATGTAAGAATACACAACAAGATGTTTACTGTAATTTAGATAAATCCAAAACAATATTAATTACAGTATTATAGAATTTAAACCTCTTCCTATGGATTAACAGATGTTATGTAATTCTGTGTACATCTTTTGTGTACAGCTAAATCATGTAATCCGAAAACATATTTGCTCTATCTTGAATTATAAACCAATGGTGCCAGCTATTTCTGAATATTTATATTTAGCAGCCACACTTATATAAAATGCAGACTATTTTTCTGTTATTTCATGTGTGTTTACTGCTAAACTCTTGAAAGAAAACAGATGTAAAACAGATTTTCCTCCAAAAGGAAATAATTGGCTGTAGCACCTAGGGGTATATACAATTATGTTTCATGGTCTGCACATAGCCACGTACAGTGACTTCTCAGACAACCATATTAAGAGCTTACATGCTCTCTGAGTGCTGTGGTTCTGCATTGCTTGCTGTCCCAATTCTCTTTTAAAGGAAATGCAATTTATTTAATACTCAAAGACAGGGTAAGAAAAAGTCACTAGCATAGTAACAATCACAATGCTCTTTGTGTGCAAAGCATCCTAGGATCTCAAGTGAGATTTGAAAATGCCACATCAAGTTCTAAGCTTTGACTTAAAGCAAACAGAATCTCCAAAACTTAATAATAATTGCGAAGTTCTCTAGGCTTCCTGGTTGCTTGCATTGGCTCTCTAGGGCAACATGAACCTATTGCTCCTTGGGTAAGATTTGATTCACTTATTAATGTTCTGTTCTTGTATGCCTTAAAGTCATTTCTCACTTATGGTAATGCTAGAGTGATTGTTTTTTTCTGGAGCTAAGAGTATATGACTTGCCCACAGTTACCCAATGGGTTTCCATGGCTGAACAGGCCAATGATCAAACCACAACATTACACACTTATTCATTCCCTAGTGTCTCTTTCATCCTAACACATACATATACTCAAGTCACACATTTGTTTTGCTATGTTTTTCAACTAAAAAAATCAATCAGGCTTCTATAGTTTCACCCTGATTCTGTAATTTATTACAATAAGAGGAGGCTGAACGAGTCCAAAACAAGATCTAAATAATAATGATGAAGAGGAAGCAAACTCCTGCTCACCAAAGACCAATGCAGTACAAGCACGTTTATTCCTTGTTATGATTAAGCATACTGTGACCAGATGAAGAACAAGCCATTGTTTCTGCAGCTCAGAAACCAGGGATTACAACATTTGAGACATTACTTAGTACAAATACCCATGTATGGTCAATTTTTTAGTCAAGTAGAACAACAAATGCTCTTTGGGATTTGATTCCTGCCATACAAAAGAACTAGTAGATTCTAAAGATGAGTTTGAGATGATTCCAGCCATACTAAGCCAATCTTTTCAAAAGCATCAGTTTAGAAATCCACTACATTTAGAGGACTATGTTTCATAAAGCCTGTAGTAATAACATGATGTTTTAAAACTCTCAGTACCATTTTGTAAAGATTTGAACTAGAAGATTTAAATAGTACTTGGCCTTGAGTTATGAAATAAAAGGAAAGGAATCCTACCTTGGCAAAGAAGACTGTGAGATGAGTTTCACTGCCAAGTATCCAAATAGGGAACTTTGGGGATTTCAAATAGGAGCCAACCTAAAAGGAAAAAGGCACAACAAAGATTAAATTAAGAACATTGTTAAGAAGAATAGTACAACATAGTGTAATGTGGTAGCAGCTTTCACCAAACAGATGCTTAGTACTGCTAATACAAGTGAATGGTTGTGCTCCAAACTGGCATGAGTTATTAAACATGAGACACTGTCCAGGCAATGCCATAATCTTTCAAATATTACTATGATCCATACCAAACACTAATTTTACCTTATACCAGCATTGTCTGATGACAGTCTCCGGTACAGCCAGGTTACTGGTACATTTTTAATAACGTATTTTAATTCACCATCAAATGTGCACATCTTCTCCTTAACAAGCGAAAGCAGAGGACAATTTTAACCCAATGAGAATTTTAGATAAAGTCTCAAATATATTGCATGCAGATGAATGCCTGGAGAACTCTATAAAATCAATATAGTGTTGGCTCTCCATATCCACAGATTCAACCATTCGTGGCTTGGAAATATTATAACTTTTATTTAGCAATTTTATAGTATCTATTCTACTATATATAATGGAACTGAGAATCTAATAGAATCTGAGATCCATAATGGGTTCTGGAACTAAACCCCACTATATATAGTACCCACTGCTGGTTTTTAGAAGCTTCTGGCAATCTTTGATTACTCTAAGAAAGCTTCCCTCCACTGCCAGCAGTTCAGCTACGATTGCTATTTATTTTGGATACTACACTTGATCTTAGCCAAAAGGCTGAGAAGTGATTGTTGATGCATATATCTATGGCTACCTGTATATTTGTATTTTATTTTAAGAGTACTAGATGTATGTTGTGTCTGCACTGTCTGTTTTTGATAAGGCCAACTGGCTAATCAATAAAAAATGTTGTTGCTATTTATTTTAGATGCTTTTACATTTCATATAATGGACCAGAATTCTATTAGTTAGTCCCATATAGATCTACTGAATCAACTGATGAATATAAGTTAACACATAAGTAAATCCTATTGACTGAATGAGTTTTGTGTAGTCAAAATTTACAATAGAATTCAGCGCACAGTTTATGAATTTGTACTAAGTTATGAATCTATTTTATTTGGCTTGTGAGCCCTCTTGGATCAAATTATCCTCAAAATCATCTATAATAAAGAAAATGATAGATATATCTTGTATTAAAGAAAACCACCAAATTCCAGCAGCTACTATATTTCAAATAGCTTTTGAAAACTTTACCTTACAGTATCTTAGAGATTCCATGAGGGTCAAAAAACCAACACTTGCTTGTTTATGTATTCCAAGTAACTCTGAAAAGAAACAAGTCCCTTATATTAAGGTCAATCAAATATAGTAATTTGATTCTTATTCTCTCCCCCTTTAAAAACTTTAAACATAGTCCATAGGAGCTTAGCTAACAAATTACGCAAAAAAGGTAAATTAAACATGAGACCAATATGCAAGAATATGAAGAATTTGATGTAATGCAATAGTTCAATAATGTCTCCCTTTGTTTAGAAACTATGTTCTTACAAAGTAAATAAAGGCAGATATATGAATTTATAATAAAAACACTGCTGAAAACTTAAAAATCATTCTGAGTGGAATTTGTTCTTTCCATATCCAATTTGTTCTCTGCACAGAAAGCACAGATGAGATAAATGGAAGGTTCTACAGAGGGTGGCTTGCAAAGACAGCCTTTTAAGGATGGGGCACACAGGGTTAGTACAAATTCTTAGGAACAACTGAAGAACATGTTGCTAACATACCGAAGAATCAGATTGAAGCTGCCAAAAATCTCTGATGTAGCAAACTTCTCAGCAATAGTTGTGACTACCAATCAAATATTGGGATTGGAATTTGTTTTGCATTCCACACAGAAGAGGTTTAACAAAAAGGAATATACTGCGTAATGACAGTTGGGATGGAGGAGAAGACTTTTCATCTACTTCTGGACCTAGCCGTGATGGAGCTGTGCCCGCCTCCTCTACACTCCCTCCAAAACTAGATCATCATCATGAAGGATGGTGGGTGATGGTACAAATCACTATAACAAGAGCATGATGCAATACCTCTTTTAACAAAATAGCTTTAATATGCATTTTCATCACCCTGAAATGTCTGGGTCTCCCAGATGCACTTTACATTTTTCCAGCAGTGCTTTTCTCATAGACCATGATTTATTTATTTATTTACAGTATTTATATTCCGCCCTTCTCACCCTGCAGGGGACTCAGGGCAGATTACAATGCACATATACATGGCAAACATTCAATGCCACAGACATACAACATATATAGACAGACACAGAGGCAATATAACATTCCAGCTTTCCAGCTTCATGAGGGTATGCTCAATTCTGGCCATGGGGGAGCGGCTGCTTCACCGTCCACTTGTGACACCAAGTCCTTGATGGAGTACCTCCTCATTCTTACGCACACTGCTGGAAGGTTTTATGGTCTCGTAAATTAGTTAAATTTGCCTCCCCGCATAAAGACACAAAGTGGTACCTACATTTTCTACTTGACAGATGCAACTGTCTTTCGGCCTGCATAAGACAACAGCAAGCATTAATGGTTGGGAGATTACTCTGACCTGGGCTGGCCTCGAATTCATGACCTCTTGGTCAGTAGTGATTTAATGCCTACTAACTAGCTGCGCCAAATTCTGGTCCTCCCTTCCATGTTTTGTGTTATAGGAATCTGTTGTTCCTAGTCTAGATTTCAGTCTTATCATAGCTTCATATGATAAGTTAGAAGGACATCCTCCCACTGTTGTCACTGATGTCGCTGTCATTACTATCAATTTATATAGTGCTATCACTGTACATCAGTTGTTCCTAACCTTTTTTTTTAACCAGGGACCACTTTTACCAGGGTCCTCTTGACCAGGAACCACTTTGACCAGAGACCATTTTTCAACATTAATATCAAAGGGTTACGAATCGGTTTTTGGTCAACTTTAGATTTGGTTGGGTTATTTGGGGTGCAGATTCAGAAAATTGCATTGGATAGACCACAGCAGACTTGTTTCTGATATAGAACATATGCCACCCAGTAGTCACCATATGCTTGCCCACAGAAAAACATATATAATAAACTAGAGCTGCGGACCTTATTTTAGGTCTTGCGGCCACCGGCCCACAAGTTGGGAACCACTGCTGTACACGGAACTATAGAAGGCCACCCCCACACCCAAACAGTCATGTAGTTTCTGTCCTCAAGCTTAAAATCTTAAATTACAATGTAACACAATAGGAAAGGGGGGTGGCAGTTTGGAAGCGGAGTAGATACTATCCCCTTTTCTCTCCCTCTGAGGCCAGGGGAATAGCAGCTGGGATGGACTGAAAGACTTCATCTGCTTCTAGGCATGATGGAACTATGACAGTTTCTTTTTCTTTCCCTTTTAAGCACAGGCATTGGCATTTGGGATGGAGGAGAAGATTTTTCATTTATGTCTGGGCCTAGGCACGACAGATGCATGCCTGTCTCTTCTACAATCCCTCTAAGACTAGATCAATATCATGAACTTATAATATAATGAACTGATAGAAGCTTCCTCCTGATCCTACCCTACGTTACTTCGTATGCGGCCTTGTATATCTGAAGTATAGCTAGATGACATGCATTGTGAATAATTAAAATAGGCTAAGACTTTTGACAAATGAACTTTGGCCTTACGCAAAAAGCAACCTTTTTGAAACATGCCATAATTCAAATTTCTGTGGAACTGCTACCCAAAGACAAATATCCTTAACCTTAAAAAAAGACTTGTAGCTTGTCATGGAATCACATGCTTTGAAAAGCAAATTTAACAGGTTCACACCTTGCTATCATCAGGCAAATAAGGGAAACATTCCCATTGAAAACAGCAGAGAGCGCCTGGTAGTAAGGAGAGACAAAGTCACTCCCCATATCTTTGTCAGGCCTTTTCCTAAATTCTCTCTTTTTCCCTTAACCACTCATAACCAGAATATAAGCACAGTTATTAGTGGCAGTTAAGTCTACTCAGCTGTTAAACCCACTTCACATTGACTGCTGATCCTTCTTGAAGAAAAACCTGTGGTTAGCCTGAATTCAAGTTAATCCTAGTGCTGGCAATGGCTCAAGAAGAAGAGGATGGGTAGGCACTATAGACACAAAGAAAGCCCCTTTTAAAGAGTATGGTGATGAATCAATGCCCCCCTCATGTTTTTTATTCCAGTTCTCATCAATGAATATGGCTCATGATCAGCAGCGACAACAGCTGTACAGTCAGCCCTCCACATTTGCCAGATGTGACTTTTTACGGATTTGATAAAAAATTTATTTTAAGGACTATCTAGGTCTTTCAATGCAATCCTATGTTCAACTTCATATAGAAGTTGCCTATAGCTTGTGTTGGATAAGAGATTCCTGGAGAGGTGTTTTCTCCAGCAAAAAAAAAAGAAGAAGCAAATTTTAAATTTATTTCCCCACTTTCATGGCCTTTGTTTTCCTCCAGTCCCAGTAAACGCAAAGGGCTGATTGTAGCTTCCACAAAAACTTTTTTTCCCTTGAGAAACTGCAAGTTGCTTCTGGTGTGAGAGAATTGGGTGTTTGCAAGGACGTTGCCCAGGGGACGCCTGGATGTTTTACAATTCTATGGCAGGCTTCTCTCATGTCCCTGCATGAGAAGTTGGGATTGACAGATGGGAGCTCACCCCGCTGCCCGGATTCAAATCAACGCCCTTTTGGTCAGCAGTCCTGCTGGTATAAGGGTTTAACCTATTGTGCCACTGGAGGCTCCCCACAAAAACTGTAGAATGAGCATGTTTTAGAGCTCTTTCATTAGTGGTCTATAGCAAAGTGTTAGAATAATCTCTGTAATAGGCCATTCTATTGTTGTGATTGGTTCTTTAGTGAAAAATTGCATATTGCATGCTGAAGATTGTCATGAGCCAGTTTGTCTTTGTCTTAGAATTAAAAACATGGGTGAAGTGTTTGAAACCAACATGGAAAGAACTTGCCTTGATCTGAACTGGCTGGCAAGAAAATGATTAAGTGGCTTCCTCTCATTCCCACAAGCTACTTTTCATGTTAAGAACTAGCTTTGAGGGTTTCTTTAGATCAGTGGTTCTCAACCTTTTTTTTGACCAGGCACCACTTTGACCAGGCACCACTCTCCAACATTAATACCAAAAGTTTTTGGTCAACTTTAGATTCAGTTTGGTTACTTGGGGTGCTATTATTGTTACGCTGTTTTATGCTGTCTTAATTGTTATTGCTTTGCTTTTAATTGTATTCTGCCTTGGGCTTGGTCCCATGTAAGCTGCCTCGAGTCCCTTCAGGGAGATGGAGGCGGGGTAGAAAAATAAAGTTCTTCTTCTTCTTCTATTTCAGAAAATTGCATTGAATGGACCATATAAACTCTAGTTTTTGATACAGAACATATGCCACCCCGTTGTTGCCATATGCTCAGCCATAGAAAATCATATTTAGTAATCAAGAGCTGACGTAGTAGTAATCTTTTGTGGGTAGTCAGCCTCTCCCCTCCTGACATCCCCGTTGCCCCAGCACTATAAGAGGGTTTTGGAAGACCAGTCACTCTCATTGCCATGTGGTTTCGAAGCAACGGTGTAGTAATGGCTGCAGATCATATTTTCATTCTTGTGGACCACAGGTTGGGAACCACTGCCTTAGATAAATGTTTACACCTCAGCTGCTTTGATCTATGTAATATACTCAATCTGTATTTTATGATTATTATCTTCATGAGAAGAACTTTGTTTTGGCTTCTTCCCTTCCCTGTTGTTGTTTTTTTATAAAAAAAAACCAGAACAATAAAGAAAACACTTTCAGTTTTACATTTTCAGGTTTTCCTATCATGTTTTGCATTAAGCAAATGCTATATACGGTAATACAGAAAACATAGACACTACCTCATAAAACAAAAAGTTACATGGAATCTGGTTAGTGACTATTTGTACACATTCGTTTTTCTTTCTAATAAGGGCACAAACCTAGATTTCTGAACAGATTGTGATAAGTTTCTTATATATACATTATCATAAAAGTTTGCTTGTTTTAAAAACACTATACATTTTATTTCAACCAAATTCTCAACAGAACGACAACACATTACATGTTTATCCCAAATTAACTACAATACAAACTGGTGCAGACTCTTCCATGCCTACTAGACTTCCCTCCCTTTTTCTAACCCCTCAAATATTTTCCTTCCTTAGACTCTACTGCCATCTTGTGGCAAATAAAAAATGCAAGCTTATTTAAAAATACATAAGCAGGAGCACTATTAAAAGTAGAACTCATGGCAAAATAGTAATAATAATAATAATAATAATAATAATAATAATAATAACACAATTATTAAACAAGGCAACAAAACTGAAAATAAGACATCAAGAACCAGATGAAAATATAGTAGTGTAAAATGCCTGAAAAAAAGTATTTTTAACCCGGTGCTTAAAAAATAGGTGACAGATAAAATTCCCTCCAGATAATATTACAGAGAACTCCCTATCTTTTGTGCATTTCTCCTGAAAACTGAATAAGGAAAAGGATCTCACCACAAATAGGTAGTATCAGTATATAAATAGCTAACTAACAAGAACATAAAATGAGCCAAAGCCAAATCCTCATATTACGTTGCACTATTTAGAACATTTTAAAAAGCCATGCACTGAAATCATGCACAAAATGGCAGGTGAACCAACAACAGGCTAGAATTTTTAGGTAATACGCAGAATAGCAAAAGGGATATTATATACAGGAACAATCTTAGAAATCAAAAAGTATAAAACAATCCCACAAATCTACCACTTCAAGTTTTAAGAACTCTGTATCATGACAATTTTTAAAACTGGAAAAATAATTTTACTTACAGAGCCCTTGTGCCACTTCAAAACAAGACAAATGTACTTACTCATTCCAGAACATTCTCTGTCCCCATCCCAGACGTTAGATACAGCATGCCCCGTCAACAGGAGGTTAATTAAGCTTTGGCTGAGTATGAAGAAAACAGAAAATTTAGACTTACTAATAACACTGTGTAACAAAACTTGAAAACTTTTACGTTCCCGGCTTGAAAGAATTATTTCCTGTTTAACTGTGCTGTACTTACTTTGAAAGTAGTTGCTATACTGCACAAACTATGTTGAATTGGTTGAGACTCTATGAGATATTCATTGAAAAACTATAGCAAAATGTGCGGCAGTTTTTGCAGCTTAATAAACTTTTTCCATGTTTTTATGATTGAACCAATTAGTAAATGACATTTATAATCCAGGGACGAAAGTTGTGTTACAAAGTGTAATCTATGTTTTCACCTTTAATTTTTTTAAAGCATGTTAAGATATAGTAAACTGAACATGCACTCCTCAACCCCCTGAAAGTTATGACACTTCTTTAAGTAGTCTCCTGATGACATGATACAAACATGAAATTCTCTACAAATTTTCATCAATTTTTCCATAATGAATTCCCTATGCAGATGGATTTCTGAAAAACAATTTGTTCAAAGAAAAATCAGTACTAAAAGGAAGTATAAAACTAACCAGAGCTTACCTTCCATGACCATAAACTGGGTCTATCAATGGCTCAGTTGAATCTTCTATTTCATTTTTAATATTTTCAATGCCCTAAAAAAAGAAATATTTTCTATTGCATTTAATGGTACCATGTCTACCCATTCAAATAAAAAATCCCACAATAACCCATTGTTAACATGAATAGCCCCTCTCATTTCTGTCAAACTTTACAGAAAAATACATAATAATTTAACATGTTTTAAACTGTTAAATTGTTTCATGTCTTTCAGACTTTTAATTGCTTCTTTCTTCACTTTGAACATGTTTATTAATTAATTCTTCAAATTGACTTCATGTGCATGTAAGCCTGCAATCATGTAATATAGGGTGAGATAAAAATACTTTAATTAATAAATCAATATTGACGGTTGTCCTGTCCTCCATTAGAGAAGATTTAGAGTGATTTCAGGCCTGATTATATAGAGAAAATTTTGGTTGCCTTAGTGCAGTGGTTCCCAAACTTTTTTTGACCAGGGACCAATATTAGTACCAAAAGGGTTATGAATCAGCTTCCTTGGGGTGTACCTATGATGTGGAATGAGTGCAGTTTGATAACACTTTAATTGCCCTGGTTCAATGCTATGGGATTCTGGGAGCTGTAGTTTTACAAGGTCTTTAGCCTTTTCTGCCAAAGAATGCTGCTTCCTCACCAAACGGCAAATTCCAGCATTGAACAGCATTGAGCCAGGGCAATTAAAAGTGGTGTCAGATATGGAGGAAAGAAGAGGTTGAGAGATATAGGAAGAACAAATGAGATAATGAATAAGAAAAGGGAATGGAGAGATCAATAGAAAGAAAAAGGAAAAGGGGTTTGGAGAGATTAATAGGAAGAAAGGGAAAGGGGGGTTGGAGAAATATGGATAGGACGAAAAAGGAAAGGGGTGGAAAGATACAGACACGCTTTGGCTCAGGACTAAGATATGGCAGGGAGAGGAGAGCTCTGTTCATAACTATGAGTTGTTCATAAGCCAGATATTCATAACTCGGACGCTCCCTGTACTTGGCTTTCATGCTGAGTAGTACAACCCACATCAGTCAATTTTTATTATTAATTTCATTTTATGGATTCTAAAATGAGAAATGGCTAATTTAATGTTTCCAGTTAAGGTAAGAAGTCAGTTTAATCTTTTAAGTTTTAGTGAACATACCTTTGTCAGTATCACAGAATACAGAAAGAGCAACACTCCAAATTTATTCGTCCAGACTGAATGCTGATTCCATATTGCCTCTTTGAAATCTGGAAAGCTTGTGAATGATTGCTTTCTGGAGATTAAAAAGAAAAAGCCAACTGATCATAAATTTTACCCCAATTTCTACATTTTATTTGATAACTAACAAAAATGCACCATATTGTAAGGTACTTCAGTATTTTTGATTTGCAACTCAATTCGCTGGAGAAAACATTTACAGTACTTGTTGGGTCAAAACTACAGAATGTGTTAGAATTCTAGAGACCCAATTTCGACATTCTACCTTAAAAGATCTCACATGCCATGGACAGTATAAATGTGTAGCTCTTTAAAAATCATATTTTTAAACGATACTTTTGTATAACATGCAGTTAATAGCAATCACTCTTGTAAATGATTTTCAAATTTAAAAAACCAGCAGAACTAGTATAAAACAAGTATTATGAGGTATGCTGGAACCAAAGCTGCATGCCTACTGCTGTGCTTACACAATACCATTTCCATGCTTACCTTAGGAATTTAATTGACAGTGTAAGTTCAGTGAATAGTATTGAAAGTCTTCATTTAGAAGCCTATTATAACACAAGTCAGTTAACAATAACCCTCGTCCTAAAGATGTGTATCTGCTTGTTAATTCTATCATCCCATCCCACAATCTCAAATCAGCTTTTCAGAAATTAGAAAATAAAGACTGAGTACAGAAATTATTCTAAACAGGAAAAAAATCATTGTTCAATTGTAGTGTTTAAATAAAATCACAACTTTTTTCCGAATACATGTTCCTGATTTTTTTAAAAAATCAGGACCTCTTTAAATGTCTGCTTAATTGTGAATCTTATAAATTAATATTGAATGTAGCAAAAAAGGTCTTCATGTAAACCTCAACATAATCAAGGCACATCTGATTATTTATGACATTTGTGTTTGATTTTGAAAGCAAGAGTTTTCTTAGTCTTAGGCTTAAATCTTGAGGGTAAAGTTCATGGAGATGAACAGCACTAGGGTAAAGTCTTAAATCAATATTTGTTTACTTGGAGAACAAGATACCATATTTTAAGTGTTTCAATATATTACTTACTGAATTAATGCATGAAATCGCTCAAAGCCAAGCTCTTCGACAGCCAAGGCAGCTATACACAAGAGACACTTTTCAGCACTACACATGGCAAAAGGTGACACAAAAACACACAGCAAGCTAGAATACTTTCAAGCTGTTCATAATTCCAACCCACACCCTCTTTTAGACCAGCTTCCACTTCAACAGTTATAGGGCCCTTCCACACAGGCATATAAATAAGAATATCAAGGCAGAAAATCCCACAATATCTGCTTTGAACTGGGTTATCTGAGTCCACACTGCCATATAATTCAGTTCAAAGCAGGTAATGTGGGATTTTATTCAGCTGTGTGGAAGGGGCCATAGAATACAAGCCAATTTAATGTGACCCATCTAGATATCTATATGTAACTGGATGCACAGGCAGTTAAAACTCAATACTGCCAAGGCTAGCAAACCAATACGGTTCAATAACCTTGGAAACTTCCAGGGTTTGTTCTGAATGAATTATGCCAACCACTGCAGGGAGCTCACCAAGCACAAACATACTGAAAACACAGTTTTTCTAGCTGAGCAGATTCTATGGAAGTGAGCATAGTTTATCTAGATTCTGGATCAAAACTACAGTAAGAAAGCTGTATTTTCTTTCTACTTCTCCCACCTCATTTCTCTCAACAATTATAAGTGCATCGACTTTAAAGCATTTTTTTCTATTTTATTTCTGTTAAATGTTCTACTTCAGTGTGTATTAGATAAGCCAATAGTAGAAAAAAATACAGCATCTAGTGCCTTCTCAGGTTCAGATTTTCTATCACCTTTTCCTCATTCTGTAAAGTGGTGCCTGAACATCATCGATTGGAGTCTAAACCATCACTACTTAGCTTACAAGGCATAAATGACATGGAATTTGCATGATAATTGAATTTAGCAGGAATAGTAAAAAATTAAATAGTTTATTCCCATAAAACTTCATGCCAAAGTAGGAAATTCAGATACACAGTCATCTTCATTACATAAAATTCCAATACTAATAACATAAATATGTACCGCTGCAATTTCTGTGAATCAGATAATATTACAGGAATAGCATTGCCCTAGAATTAGCTTTAATCCTAGTCTTCGGAGGTAAAAAAAACCCACTTTGAACTGCACTAGTTAAAATTATGAACTAATAGATCACCTGAGGAAATTGTGATATAAAGATATTGCTGAACCTGTGAACTTGCACTAATATAATCAACGGATGGCAAACAAGTTATCAATATGTACACTATAAAGCAGATGGTACAAGTAAACTTTGCAGTAGCAATATATGGATCAATACTTTTGCCAATTTCATAAATACTGTTGAACTGAGCAGAATGCCAGAAGAACTAGGAAGTGGAATACAAACACTACTGAAAGTGTAGAGTGGCAGCAGTGTATCTGCAGTAAAGCAGTGTATCTGGGTTGCTGTGAGGTTTTTTTGGGTTGTATGACCGTGTTTCAGTGCCATGTTCTAGAAACATGGCCATACAGCCCGAAAAAGTCACAGCAATCCAGTGATTATGGCTATTTAATTTTTTTTTTATTGTGTCAGAAATGTCTTGAGAAATGGCAAGTCACTTCTGGTGTGAGAGAATTGGCCATCTGCAGGGACGTTGTCCCCATATGGGAAGCTGGAGCTGACAGATGAGAGCTCACTCTTTCTTGCGGATTTAAACCACCGACCTTCAGGTCAGCAGTTCAGGAGTCAGCCGGCACAAGGATTTAACCCATTGTACCACCACAGCTCCGATTCTGACCATGAAAGCCTCCAATAAATCAAGACAGTTTGAGCTGGGAATGAGCTCTAGCTGATCATACTGTGGATGTGTGTACCTGCATAAAATAGGTAAGGCAACAGTACCTGTCTTTAGAATCTCTAAACAAATAGCAAATACAACAGAAAAGGGGAGATCTGATAAGCCTGCCACAGCAGCCACCCCATTTTTAAATAATTTAAATTAATCTATTACAATCCTAAGAAAAGAAGAGGCGGATGAAATAAAAGTCATTCCTAGATACTTTTTGTAAAAAGCCTTCAAGTGTTCTCTAGAAAATTCAAAATGTTTTTGTTTACTTCAACAAGGCTTATCTGACCTGGTGGTTTTATTTCACATACTCATATTGTTAGTTCTGTGAAGTGCTCTTCTCTTTTCGTAGTGTATGAACCTATCCCTATTGTATCCGTGTTATTTCCACCTCTAGTATTTTCTGCTATTGAAATAAAACCCAGGAATATCTCTGTTCTGTTAACTTAGGTATGCCTGTAAAATCTGAAAATCTGAAAGTGCCAAAAGCAACCTGTAAAATGTCAAGTACATATACAAAAGAATACACAAATACTATGAAAATAGTAGCTGATAATACAGCTCTCCCTTTACTAAAGGTACTTGTCAGAGAACATAAGGAAAATCAATGGTTTCCCATTATTGTCCTATCACAAGTAGCTGCAATCAAAAAGATAACTATCACAATAAGAATGTGAATGAAGCATCTTCATAAGAAAATATTTTTCTCATGGTCTTGCTATAGTAAAGGCAAAGGTTTCCCCTGACATTAAGTATAGTTGTGTCCGACTCTGGGGGATGGTGCTCATGTCCATTTCTACACCGAAGAGCCGGCGTTGTCCATAGACACCTCCAAGGTCATGCAGCCAGCATGACTGCAGGGAGCGCCATTACTGTCCCGCAGAAGTAGTACCTAATGTAGCGATCTACTCACATTTGCATGTTTTCAAACTGCTAGGTTGGCAGAGGCTGAGGCTAACAGCGGGAGCTCATCCTGCTCCCTGGATTTGAACTGCTGGCCTTTTGGTCAGCAAGTTCAGCAGCTCAGCCGTTTAACCCGCTGCACTTCCAGGGGGCCCTTATAGTAACATCTAAAATGTTTATTTGCTGATTTGGAGAGTGATATTTCATCAAAAATGTCAGGTTAAAACTACATCCGCCAAATCAATTAATTACACTGAAGAGTCATTAAACTGTTTCTCCTTGGGGTGAAAGACTCTTTTCATTCTGCATGACTCAAATTACCACACTGCCAAATTAACTGGAAACAAATAGGAAGAAAACTAAAAACAAATCATGAAAGATAGAAGAAGAATGTTTAAAATGTGAGAATGTAACCATTTGCAAATTGCTGCCACCAAAGAAATGTTTTATTAAGGCTAGCAGCAAATTAAACAAATCTTGGTGAATCTGTTTGAGGGGCCTTTGGCAATCGGAATTCTTTCACTCATTCACAGATGGGACCAGGATCCAAGATCCTGTTAGCAGAAGGAATGGAACGACATTCACTCTGGCACTAATTGTCTAGACCAGAGATTCCCAACAGTTGGTCCTTCAGGTATTTGAGATTTCAACTCCCTGAAGTCCCAGTCAGTTGGGACAACTGTCTGGAATCCAGGAATTTATCCAAAACACATTGAGAATGAAAAGCTGGAAACCACTACTACAGATGATTTCCCATCTGATAGAGTCTATTTGCAGATGGCTGTATAAGGAAGAGAGGAATCATCAACAGTCTCCTTCTCCCTTCTACTGGTGATTACCTCCCATGAGTTTAGGGGATGCTACAATATGGCAAGCAGTTAGGATGCCAAAATATAAATCAGTATTTAAGATCGACATAAAGTTGCATCTGAATACTTCTGAGAATTTCTTAGTGCAATAACATCTTACAACAGGTATTTTCTCATTTCAAATGATGCCTTTTCTATGATAATGCCTGGCATGTATTCCTTTTGTGAGTTCTTTGATCAAATTCTACACAGTTAATAAAGTTGCTTTAATTTATTGTGGGTACTTTTAATATCTATCCAACAAAACTCTTATTCTTAATAGGCCTGGCGGCTTGATATTATAAAATGGGATGCAACATTAAGTCATACTCAGATTCATGTGGCATAATACATCTATAGCAGTGATTAACCCTGAAAGCATAAAGCCTATCAGTGCCAAGGTAATGGAAGACACTGTCATGATCAGTACAGGAAAAAGTAAGATTACTGCACGGAAGAAACTATGATACCAAAATCTTGTTACATAAACATAAAAGCGCTGCTTGAAATCATGCTACACAAAACATTTCTTACAGGGCTGCTCCTCTTGATGGCTTGACTCAGCTGGACTCTCAGAAATACTACTAGTTTCTTCTGCAGTTTTTCCTCTTTGCCATGTTACCATACAATATGATTCTGAGTGATCAGAGGAAGCCAGTTCCAAAATTTCACTTAATGTATGACAAAGGAGATTCTTCTGCTCTTCCTCTGAAATAGTTAAAGCCAAAGCAAACAAAAGTTTTGATAGGAAATATATAGCCAAAACATCTAGCAATATAAGTAATTGGGTGTAATCCAGTGGTCTGTGGAAAGCACCTTGGGTGGAAGCAGTGGATAAAGGCATAACTTGGCAATTCCCAAGCATCTCAGTAGCCAGTTTAAGGCCGATGACAGAGTTCTTCTCATTTTAGCTCATGCCTCACTTTGTGCTCGTGTTTTTCACTAGCCTCATTCAGGCATAGCTCTAAACAATAATTCAGAAATGCAGGAACAAACCTGGGCAAACCAAAGCTTTGGACTCTCGCATCTCCTCCTCCCTTTTGTTCCTCTAATGCAACCAAGAGATTTTTCTTATGCCAAAATTAAACTAGCATGTACCGATTCAAGGCAAAATCAAGCCATGATTTATTATCTTGATTTAATTTTTTAAGAAACCATTTCAATCCAAGTCAGCATAGTTCAGTTTAAACTGCATTGAGTTTAAACTAGTTCTTATCTTGTGCCATGCTGGAGGGGAAAAGGAAGGAGAGCACCATATAACAACCACTGCTTAGTATTATGTCCAAAGCCAATTATTCTTCTTTCTTAGTAACTCTCACACATGGAATAATTTCTGCCACCAGAAAAAGGAGCAAGGTAAAGGGATGCAGTTAAGTTGTGTTAAATATATTCGTACTGATTATGAACAATATATGTTGTATATTCTTTTACAATTTAAACCTTATCTCCACATATATTCATTAAATAGCCTGACATTTCAATACAGTTTGACAAATTTGCCCAATGTGCAAACACGTGAGTAATTGGGTTGCAGTGAGTTTTTCGGGCTGTATGGCCATATTCCAGGAGCATTCTCTCCTGATGTTTCACCTGCACAAGAACACTACTGAAACATGGCCATACAGCCCAAAAACCTCATAGCAACCCAGTGATTCCCATCATGAAAGCCTTCAACAACATGAGTAATTTCTATTCAAGAGCAATTACAAACATTTTCATTCATCTGGGTTCTCCTTTACTTCTATTAAACACAATGATGAAATAATCTTAGTGCACTTTTAATATAAAAATAAAGAAAATTCAAATTTTGTAAAAACAGTCAGATAAATGATTAAATAAAACATGTACTCTAGGTTTTTTTTTTACATTTGCTTAATTTGCACAATTGCTGAATTTACTCAAATCTAATGCTCATCTTTTTTGGCTAAACGACCTTCCTTGTCAAAATTGGGGTGTGAATTTGATTTGCATCATACAGTAATCTTAGTGCTGCCAAAGCAAAAGGGGAAGGTGCTTCAGGAATGTACTTGGAGCTCCTCGTTGAGGGACCTCATATCTAATTAAATGGCCAGGGATCAATGCTATCTACAAATTACAATCCTGGGATTTGTAGTTTGGTAAGACACTGGGATTCTTTGGCAGAGAAGGTTCAAAACCTTATCAAATGACAGCCCCCAGAACTCCATAGCACTGAACCAAGGCAATTAGAGTGGATTCATTCTACATCATAGATGAACCCCAAGCTTTCTTTTCCATTGCAGTAAGCTTTGGTGATCTAACACAATTGCTTATAATGAAAGAATTCTATGCAACTAGCAACAGTAATGCACATCTGATTTGGCCAAATTTCAAAGAGCGCACTTTTTGCTGGTGCGCATTAATTTTGACAGCAACTACTTTTTTGGTTTTAAGGTTTTGAAAATTAAGGTGAGCATTAGATTAAATGGAGTATTAGTCTTGAGTAAATATGAGTTTTCTATTGGCAAAGTTTGGTTTTTTGTTGTTTTTTTTTTGCTTTCTTCTTTAAGGTTTGAAATGTTCAGTTCCATATTCCCTACAATGAAATCATCAGCAAATGCTGACTTGATGTACAGTTGTATTATCAAATTACTGCATGGATAAGTGTGCCATATTTTAGCTCAGCACAGCATAGTCTAACAAGAACTGTATTTAAAATGCCACATGTGAAAAAGGCTTGTAGTTACCTTGACATTGTCTCCAGGTAGATTTCTCACAAGCAAAAAGCTTCTTCAGAAGGAATGCCTTATATTAAAGACAATATTGACATATCAGAAATATAAGAGTTGTTCTCTAGTGCTATGACGTGTTTCCATTTCCAATCTTGGTTGAACTTTAACAATATTTAAATGTATTTATATATTCCCTTTCCCCTGATGCAGATACAATAGGCTCCTGCCATTTAACTATCATAGACATATGAATAGCTCACAGATGGCTTTAACTGTGACAGGATGTTGTATAAAGATAACCAATTCTCACATGCAGTAAAGTTTCCTACTTGTAGCTTACTATTTCTGAAGAATTTAATACTCAAGAAAGAGATTGCATGTCTACCTCTACCCAAGAGGATTAAAACATCAGTTACCTTTATTAGAAGTCAATGCTGCAGAAATATGTGGAACAGACAAATTAGTTCTTCAATTTGTATTTGTAACTGATCTAAATTAGGTACTTTTAACATTTCACGCACACTGCGTTAAATTAATGTGCCAACTACACTGATTCAAAGTACTAGTGTCTGGCATTTTAAAAATTGGCACATGGAGTACTATGCACACAGTGCAATCAGTAAGTAAATCCAATTGTATCTGCAATACCTAATGTATAGCGACCTCTTCACACGTCCCTCCCCCATGTATTATTTTGCCGGCAGTTGTATAGATGTCCATTGTAGATGCCTTAAGTGATCTAGTGAACCATGGAACAGCAATAGAAAATGTATATTTGAAATTTAGCTTCCTTAAGTTTCTAATATTACCTGAATGGGTGCAATCACAGCACAAGGACCTCCTTCAAATTGTTCTAAGGCAGTAGATTCTGATTCACTGAATACAAACCCTAACAAAAAGAACAAAAATGATGAATTGGTTATTCCCAAAACAAAATGTCAGGTAAGACAACTCAGTTGTTTCTCAAGTACAACGTGGAGAGAGCTATTTTCAATATTTCTACTCCCAATACTTATTAAACAACTTGGGCAAGTTTTTTCCACATTAACAATTAATTATAATGATGTCATGAAATTTCACTATGTCAAGGGGTAAGATGACACATAAGTATCACTTCTTGAAATGTTTATAACTCTACCACTCCAAGCTTTCTTCTGTTAAAAAATTGACAAATCTGATAAGGGCAGGAACAACAATATTATTTCTGTGACCATCAGCTCTGTACCATTCCATTTAGGATGTGATAATAAAATCATGTCAGTCCTGGCATATAGCAACATAGCCAATATATTCTTTCTTACACTGCTTGCATACCTTTCAGCTATTCTGCAAATTTTATTATTTCCTGAAAATCACATAAATGTGAAGAATCCGGCTCAGAAAACACCACTTGGCTTTCATCAAAACCTCATGCAAATTTAGTAGCACTCTTTTATTTTTAAAATAAATATCCATCCCTCTTTTTGGATGAAGGCACAGAGGCTTTTTGGAGCACAATATTGCAACAGACACTTTGAAAATTAACACTAAACTATACTACATGTTTCAGTGGACAAAGCAACTACAAAAGTTCCAGGACAGAAAAATATGGTCATAACTTTAAATGGCTACTTTCAGCAGGGTTCAACAATTTGTAAGGTTCTTTTTCCAAAGTCCTTTAGGACACTCTTCAAATACTTGTGCTTTACAGTTTTGTTTGCTTTGTACTGAACTATCTACACTTTGTAGGCCATTTTCAAATCACATCCAAAGTATTATTTTAACACAACTGAGATACCAGAACAAGCAGAGTCTACAAATATGTCACTTTTACTTAGCTTTTCTACTAGTTAATAGAAATAAGAAATAAAGCAAAAGTAAAGCAGACACAAGTTTCAATTCCCCTTTCAATATATCTATATAAATAAAAATGTAATGTTCGTTTGTGGGATTAACATAACTCAAAAACCACTGGACGAGTTGACACCAAATTTGGCCACAATACACCTATCAGGCCAACAAGTGACCATCACTCATAAAACACTGAAAAACACAGCAGAAGGGACTTAAAAAGCCAAAAAAGCAAAAAGGCGCTACACTGCATGTGCAATAAAAGCACATATTAGCATATCCACACTCTCTTCCAGACTACAGTTCCCAGCATTCCCTAGACCAGGCCTTTTAGGAGAGGATGATGATCCAAATACAATGCTGCAAGCTTTCTTCTCGGATTTCTTTGCTTTCCTGCATATTTCCAATTTCCTATTCCTGGACTGCAACTCCCAGTAATCCTCCAGATAGATAGACTGGATGGACTGCTCAATCAGGAGGACTGCTGGGAGTTGCAGTTCAAGAATAGGTAGAGAAGGAAGAAAGGGAAGAAAGGGGAAGGGAAAGAAAAGGGGAGGAAAAGAAGGAGAGAAAGAAAGGAGAGAAAGAGGAAGGTTGGCCACAGCAATACATGGGGGGTACAGTTAGTGTGTGTGTGTGTATATATATGTATGCAAGATCACATTTACAAACACAAATAACATTTCTAAGGATGCTGCAAGAATTACTGAAAAAGGCAATATTCTAATAACTTGGTGCAAATTACAGAACAGGATATAATTTAACACTTAAAAACAGAAGAGTATATGTGATTTTGAATGATATATAAAATGATTGTGTTATCACAATTAGAAAGAGAGTAAGAGAACACATTTCATCCACATTATTTTGCCAGTCTCACACTGTACATACAACAGATTTCAAATCCCAAAAAGCTCCCAAACTAGTCCACTCTCAAGTACTGTCCCTACTGAGTATATCCTGGACTGAGACACTGAAACAAGGAAGACCTTCCACAGAACACAAAGTAGAGGCTATGTATTATGGAGGATAAATATGGGATGTTATAATCCGTATTAAGATCCTATCTTATGTTCATGCTTCAAAATCACTGAGTAATCTCTTAAACAGTAAGGGAGTTCCATAATTCAATAAGTATACACATTGCATAACACAATGCACATCATACATTTCAGAACACCCGAAATAAAGAAACTTGACATGTGCAGCTCCCAGAGACAGTGCATTCCTTGTACAGTCTCCTAACATCCAATCTAGTTATGAAACTTTGTTAATGTCTCCCAATCAAATCCACCTCAGAAATGAAGGCAAGAGGTTAATAAGTTGGTAAGACAGTTTATAAGGCAGCAGGTGGTAAGCAATTAAAAATAGCACAGCCAAAATCACACAGAAATCTGAGCAGCACCCGTATACCAGAAGATATGACGCACAAGCATGGTATCTATCTATCTATTAGAATAAATAAACAGAAAACACAGGTATGTCACATTACCAAAAGTGGTGCTGAACCTGTAAGAGGAAACAGTTTAATGAATAGAACCTTGCATACTGTGGAAGACTGCACAAAACAAGACAGATTTGCACTGAAAATACAAATGTGATTCAGTAATACCTGGGCCCTTGGATTTCTCACAGGTATCATGTGATGCAAACTCTATTAACCCATCCAGAGAAATAACTACACTCTCTATTGTTGTAAATTTTGCTAACAGGTACAAGCAACAGAAAGTCAAACTATGGCTCCTATTCGCCACCTTACTATTATTGAGGTAACTGCTTCCTTCTGCAGAAAAGATATAACTTCAGAAAACAATTATTTCGTCATTGCAGATTTACCAATGGAAGAGAGAATGGAATGGGTAAAATGTTGTAAACCATATTGCATTGTAGATGCTTTTTCAACAGAGCAACCATGGAGTTAACTGGGGACAACTCAATTGGTAGCGATACCATGTGGTTGCTCTTGTCCCAGCATTGAACATGTTGCTTTTGCATTTGGAATTATTTAACATCAATAAGGTAAGATATCATTCCTGCCACGGTATAGGTCACCAACTAGGTTGTGCATGTGGCTATTTCAAATGTGCTATTGAACTAGACCATGAGATTAATAGTTAAAATTGTACAGTGGTCAATGAATAAATAACAAACTTTTAAAATACATTTTAAAAGGTTATAAGCAAAAGTATTCCTGAAAAATTGCTGAGAGTTTTTGCCTAGGAATAGCAAAAGAAACAGATCAAAATATTGCTTTTTCGGTGCAGATCCAGTTTTCAAAACTGTGCCCCAAATCAGACATTATTTTTATTGGCTAAGATTTTATATGTCATTGTCTCTATTCCCTGACAGTACAGTAAACAATTTGTGGTTCATAGTAATCTTCTAAGAATCATTTTTTTTAATTAAACGAATATACTTTCACATCAGAAAAACATATCTCAGCAAAATACACTTGCATCTGCAATAACAAAAGTAAATTTATAAAGTGTCTATATTTATTATTCATGGGCAAACTATTGATAAACACCATTATCAGTGCTGTTTTATTACTTGTGTTGAGTAAGCCAAAATAAAGCCTGAGAGTAGAGAAAATGTTGCAGTAGGGATTTGGCACAGCTTACATTTTCAAAGATACTAAAGGGCTATGAAAACCTAAGCCAGCAAGCTTTTAAAATCCTGCCTTACTAAAGCCTTATTAAAGATCAAGTTTCTGGTTATCCAGAGTGATTCTATAGGTGCCTGCACTGCACAATGCCAGAGATTTCCCCAGTCCTGTCAAACCAAACATCACATGCAGCAAGACAATGTAGAAGTTAGCAGAAGAAAGAGTAATGGTTAGACTGATCATTATAAGAGTTATTACAGAAAATCGTAGAACTATGTTGAAACTAGTGGGTATTGTTTGCTTGACTTTTAAATGCTCTACTATCCAAACTTAGGACAAAATACACTACTACTAGTCACAAATAAAGAAAAGGGGGAAGGAGGGAGAAACAGTAGTTCCATTACAGAAACATAACCTTCCTGGATATAATAAACCATGATTACTGAACATCTAAAGAGAATGTCCTAATTATAATATCCAAAAGGCATCTCAAACAAACAAAAGGATGGGGTTGGAGAGAAAGTTTTAACATTCTTCATTATAGTATATAGTGATGATATTACATACATATTTCTTGCCCTTCTAGAAGAAAATGGGTGGGTTGTTGATAAAGCTCTCAAGTGAAAGGCCAGATACAAAGAGGATTGGTCACCTGTTACCTGTCAACTCAAGGAAAGAGGAAGATCAAAACAAAAGACCTGCAACGTTAGCATTTGCCTCCTTGCCACAAAGCAGCAGCTCAGGTGTGCATAAAAAATAGTAGCAATGCTTCCACAAATAAACCATTGCTTTCTTAGAAGCCTCTCAAGGCAACAAAATTAGTTTTACAAATTCTCGGTCCAAGGGAAGCATCTGTGAGTTGTCAAGAGGGCTTTGGCTGTAGCACACAAACCCACAGAAACCACTGTCCTAGGATGAACTTGCAAGGGGTGTGTGTGTTGAAGATTGGAAAGGGAAATTAAGTATGGATAATTTTTGAAGGCATCTAGTACCTTGTGCCCAGCGGCTGAAGATGGTATCTGCGAGGCCCTGGGAGCCAGGCTTCTTGCCCCACACCAGGTGGATCACCTCCTGTCCTACTTCAGCCATGGGGGCGGCTCTCTGGCCAGATGGCTCCGGAGACACCTCCCAGAAGCAGACACCAGAAGGCAACAATGAAGAGGAGGTTGTGGCGGCGGGGTGGCTGCCAACCCGCTTTCCCTGAACATGGGCAGGGGCGGAGGGCAGAAACTGGCAAGCGAGGCCACCTCTTAAATGCAAGGAGAAAAGGCAGTGGCAGCAACTTAGACTCCAGACTGGTTGGCCTAAAGGAGAGAAAGGCAGAAATATTTAGGATGTTAAGTATATGTGTGATTGGGAGCCAACATAGAATAGTGGTTTGAAAGCTGGACTCCAGAGACCAAGATTTGAATCCCCACTGGCCATAAAAATGTACTCTGCTGGCCATAAAAATGAGCACGTCACACCCTTTCAGCCCCAGATAAAGGCAATCGCAACCCCTCTGATCAAACCTTGCCCCTTGCCAAGAAAACCAAGTGACAGGTTCACTTTAGGGCCACCATAAATTAGAAATGTCTGAAGATGCACAACACACACACATCAATAAATCAATTATAATACCACTACAATCATAATTATTCAAATTAACATTCTTCACTACTACTGACGGAGAGAGCCAGAGAGCAGGTAAGCTCCATCTAAAGGTGCTTTTATCTGCTGTATTTGAACTTTATCATCCCTGTGTGATACACTCCTTATAAAAAAATAAAGAGCCACTTTGAATCTCCTTTAAGAGAGAAAAGCCGAATATAAATATATTATATTAATATTAGTAATGAAATGGATCTTCTCCTTAACTCTTATGGAGTATGATAAAGTCCTAACACAAAATAATTTTTCTCCTTTGCCAGATGTTGCAGGTAAGCTCCATCCAAAAGGACTTCAATCCTGCCATATTTGCCCTTTATTACATTTTAATCATTAAAATAAATCATACCAAAAATAAATTAAAATAAAAAGCACTTTACATTTTTTTAGGTCTGCTCGTATGCCCTTCCACAAACGCCACTATCACCTTTTTGTCCATGTCCCAGCATTATTTCCATTTTAACTTTACATTTGGCCGCCTTCCCACTGTTTTTAATTGCGTGTTGTCTTATTGATAATGTTGTATATTTTAATGTCTATGTTTTTATTTTAATTGCTTGTACTGTTGTTGTTTTGCTTGTATTGTTGTATTCGGGCTCGGCCTCATGTAAGCCGCACCGAGTCCCTTGGGGAGATGGTAGCGGGGTACAAATAAAGTGTTATTATTATTATTAAAATAATGATAAGGTACATAATTGTGCTTTTTTTGCCCTGTGTGTTAGTGCCCTCATGCGAAATAAAAAAGCCACTTTGGGTCTCCTTTAGGAGAAGAAGCAGGGCATTAAATAATATAGCCATAACAATATATTTTTCCCTTCACTCCCAATGAGGGAGAGACAAGATGAGCCAATGGCAGTGGTGCGTATATATGTGGACGACTCTAGGCCCCTTCACACAGCCATATATCCCAGAATATGAAGGCAGAAAATCCCACAATATCTGCTTTGAACTGTTATCACAGTCCACACTCAGATAATGTGAGTTTTTTTTTTTTTGCCTTGATATTCTGGGATATATTGCTGTGTGGATGGGCTCTCAGGATCCTCCCACACAGACATATAACCCTGAATATCAAGGAAGGAAATCCCACAATATTTGCTTTGAACTGGAATATGTGGCAGTGTGGACTGAGATAACCCAGTTCAAAGCAGATATTGTGGGATTTTCTGCCTTGATGTTTTATGATATAGGGCTGTATGGGAGGACTCTGAGAGTCCTTTAACAAAGCCATATATCCCAGAATGTCAAGGCAAAAACCCACATTATCTGAGTGTGGACTGAGATAACCCAGTTCAAAGCAGATATTGTGGGATTTTCTGCCTTGATGTCCTGGGATGTAGGGCTGTGTGGGAGGACTCTGAGAGCCCTTCCACACAGCCATATATCTCAGAATATGAAGGCAGAAAATCCCACAATATCTGCTTTGAACTGTTATCACAGTCCACACTCAGATAATGTGGGTTTTTTGCCTTGATATTCTGGGATACATGGCTTTGTTGAAGGACTCCCAGAGTCCTCCCACACAGACATATAACCCTGAATATCAAGGCAGGAAATCCCACAATATTTGCTTTGAACTGGAATATATGGCAGTGTGGACTGAGATAACCCAGTTCAAAGCAGATACTGTGGGATTTTCTGCCTTGATGTCCTGGGATATAGGCCTGTGTGGGAGGACTCTGAGAGTCCTTCAACAAAGCCATATATCCCAGAATATCAAGGCAAAAAACCCACATTATCTGAGTGTGGACTCAGATAACCCAGTTCAAAGCAGATATTGTGGGACTTTTCTGCTTTGTTGTCCTGGGATATAGGGCTGTGTGGGAGGGCCCTCAGTAAGCATAACTGCAGAAGAGAGAGAGAGGAAAGAAGGGGAAGGAAAGAGGCTGGGGATGAGGCCCAGTCCTCCTCAGAGGCGCCGAGGTCTCCTGCCTCTCCTAGGCCGAAGGAGGATCCACCCACCCCATTTCAATCCCCTCAAAGGCCCTCATTCCCGCCCCATCCCTCCATTTCCCGGCTTGTGTACATTATACCGACCCGCCTTCCGGCTCTCCCAACTCAAGCCGCGTCCTCCGCCCGTCTGACTCACTCCTTCCCTTCTCCCCCTCACTAATACTACTCAATGGAGGGCTCGGGCACTACGGGTGGCCCTGATTGGACGAGCCGGTGCCAAACAAAGCCCCTCGACGAATCAGCATTGCCGTATTGCTCTTTCCCCCCGCCCTCCTAGGCTCAGGGAGTGAAAACACGCTCCAGGGTGGGAGTTGCGCATGCTCAGATACACTCTACTTAATGCTGGTTCTGATTTGACGAAACCGCGTGACGGGCATCTGGATGAACCAATCAACGACCGATAGTAAAAGTCTGGCAGAGATCTCTCTGCAACAAAAGTTGTGAAGTCATTACAGGGTGGGGAGAGAGACATAAAGATTTCTGTAGGGGTTTCATTTCTATTTTCTAAGCTTAGAGTTATACAGTATGACAGAGAGATGTCGATACAATTCCCGGGTTTATTTTTAATTTAAAATTTAAACATTTTAGATTGGCTCCCAAGCTCTAGTCCTTTAAGTGTTTTGGACTTCAACTCCCAGAATCCTCAGCTGCTGTAGCCAATGTTGAAGGATTCTGGGAGATGAAGTCCAAAACACTGCCAATGCAAGAGCTTAAGAACTGTAGCTAGACAGCCCTCCAACAGGAAAAAGGAGAGAAAGAGGTTTGGGCATAGAGAGTCCATTGCAGAACTGGAAACATTCATGTTTGAAAATTAATTCGCTAATGTTAATAGAAGTTGGGAAATTAATTTTATTTTATATTTATCGTGTCAGGAGCAAACCAAACAGTTGTATTGCATTTTTAACAAACAAACAAACATACAAAACACAAAGTTTGCAAGTTTGGTAGTTGATTAATTTAATTCACTGTGGTAGACACAAGTAACTCAGATTGTTTCATTGGTCAAGTTATCATGAAGTGGGTTGATGCTCTCTAGTCAGTGTGAGATCCCTAGAGAGGATGATAAGCAGCACTATTTGACAGAGATGGCTGAAGACCTTGTAAAACTACACTTTCCAGTATTCCATAGCATTTGTTGCACTCCAGGACAGGAAAAGCCATCTGACTTTAAACACCACACCGTTGGATAGGGAAACAATCCTTTTATTGAAGTTAATTAAAAAACAGTAAAGTAAAAAAGCACTTTAAAGAAATAGGTATATCCAATTAGGTAGGAAGAGAAGCAGGAACAAAGTAGTCCAGGGTAATAGTCCATAAAAACAAAGTCAAAACTTCCCAAATAAAATGCAAGAAATCAGGAAATATGAATCCAAGGCATGAATATAAAAGCATAGATTCCAAGAATCAAAACCATGAAAGAAAGGCACTTAAAACATGAATTTTCCAATCAAAGCTTCCATGAAACAAGGATGAGATCTTGACTTGATTCCAAACGATGCTTCATCTACTACATATCCTGTGCTTGAGACTTTTATCTCCTCGTTAACTATGTCTCTAGCGCTCAGAAATTGGTGTCGCTTTAGCTGAGAATTTCTTATCTTTTTCTCTCGGAGCCTGGCAGAATGCCAAAGCCAATGCCCAGCTCTCTTGTTTTGACTGATCTCCCCCCATCTATCTAATTGCTCATTTATTTCTGCAGCTGGGCCAGGTGCCGACCTGTTTTCATGTTCCCTACCATGGGGACTCTCTGGTAACAATTCAGAGAGCACCCCATCATCCCCACACCCCTCAGGGACATTCTCATGGGAAACTACACTTTGAACAGGGATGTCCTGATTATTCTCTGCATCAATATCATTGACTAAACCATTGTCATCTTGAAACTCATTGGCATCACTCCCCACATCCAAAGGACCCTGATCCTGAAATACAATTACAGACTGAGCTCCAACAGCATTTACCCGTAGCAGTTAAAGCGGTGCTGAAGCGTAAAATTTAAATCTATATAAATAAAAATGTAATGTTCATTTGTGGGATTAACATCACTCAAAAACCACGGGATGAATTGACACCAAATTTGGACACAATGCACATATCAGGCTAACGAGTGACCATCACTCATAAAACACTGAAAAACACAGCAGAAGGGACTTAAAGAGCCAAAAAAGAAAAAGACGCTATGGTGCGCAAAAATGACTCCCCCTGGCAAACAAAACACATAATAACATATCCACACTCTCTTCCGGACTACACTTCCCAGCATCCCCTAGACCAGGCTCTTTAGGAGAGGAGGATGATCCAAATGCACTGCTTCCAAGCTGCAAGCTTTCTTCTCCTTGGACTTCTTTGAGAGTATCCCAGTCCCTGCATATTTCCAATTTACTATTCCTGGACTACAACTCCCAGTAAGCCTCCAGATAGATAGACTAGATAGAGATAGATAGGTAGGCAGATTGATCAAGAGGACTGCTGAGAGTTGCAGTCCAAGAATAGGTAGAGAAGGAAGAAAGGGGAGAAAGAGGAAGGGAAAGAAAAGATGGGGGAATGAAAGGAAAGAAGAAGAGAAGGAAGGAAGGATGGAAGGAGGGAAAGAAAGAAGAGAAAGAGGGAGGGAAGGTTGGCCACAGCAATGCGTGGCGGGTATAGCTAGTATTGTATAAATCTTGTCCAATATAACCACCCCATGATTTCCTAGTAGCAGTATATATGCATATATGTATATGTGTGTGTGTAGAGCAATGACCAATCGCAATAAAATAGTGAAGAGTAGAGACATCATACTGGCAACGAAGATCCTCATAGTTAAAGCAATGGTTCCCCGTAGCAACCTAGATTTGCATTATATATGTGTGTGTTATTTTAGTGTGCACATGCACATTTGTATGCATAAATGTCAATTTGTGAAAGTTATTCATTTATTAATAATAATCAGGCCTGACTAAATATAGCTCATTATCTATAATAACTATACAGAATGGGCCAGTGCCACTTTCTAAAGGAATCCCACTGGAGCATTGCAGCACATCAAAATACCTGTGAGTTACTCTGGACCGTGCTCTGACTTACAAGAAGCACTGCTTGAATACCAAGAAAAAATGGGTGTTAGAAGTAACATTGTACTAAAGCTGACTGGTGCAATCTGGGGATCACAACCAGACACAGTGAAGGTCTGGTTGTGCTCTGCTATTCTACTCCTGAATACACATGCCCAGTTTGGAATATATCTCACCATGTTAAAACAGTGGAGGTGGCTCTTAATGAGACATGCTGCATTATCACAAGATGTCTACACCCAACACTGCTGGAGAAATTATACTGTTTAGCCAGTATTGCACCACCTTTGTCGGGAAGTAGCAGCCAGCAAAGAAAGGACCAAGGCATGGACACTCCAGCCCATCCTCTGTTTGGATATCAGCCAGCAAGCCAATGCCTTAAATCAAGAAATAGCTTCCGAAGATTTATAGATATACTTGCAGGAACACCTCAGCAAGTGAGCGTCCAAAAGTGGCAGGCTTAAACCCGGAACCTCAATTCATAGCTGATACCTGATGAGAAACTCCCTTCTGGGCAGGCACACAAAAGACTGGGCGACTTGGAAGCCTCTGAACAGACTGTGCTCTAGCACCACAAGATGCAGAGTCAATCTTAAGAAATGGGGCAACAAAGCGGAGTCCACAAATGCGAGTGTGGAGAAGACTAAGTCACAGGCACAATGGAGGACCTCACAGCGACACCAGAGTCACTCCAAGTGGCCAGCTTCTGGTCAAAGAACACTTAGCATAATGCCAAGTTTTTAATTTTGTTTATGTTTTAAAATATATTATAACTGTACTCTCAATTTGCTTCTGACACAACAAATAAAAATTAAAATTAGCCCTTTATATTGAAAGCAATACTGCTGAGTTAACACCAGGTGTCAATGCTGCTCTTCCATTGCTTGTGCATCATGACCCTTGTAATGTGGACCACACTTTTGTCAGATGTCTATGCTATTTTTGGCCTTTGATTACAGTTTGGGTTCATTAGCTACTATTTTACAATCTCCTCTGTCAGTATTTTACACAGTAAGTACATTAAACACTCTAACGAAACTCACAGTGTGCTTCAGGAACTGACTAAAATTTAACATTGGGACAAAGCCCAAGGAGAGTCATTAAATTTAATTAAACATGCAAAGGTAGTGTGATGGGCTGATTTTGTAAAATGTCTCCTCTGTTTCTTGTATTTGGTCTCATTTGGCTTGCATTTTTAATCATGACACTGGTTCTACACAGTCCTCCACATGTTAGACCGCACACATCATTGCATATATTTATTAGTGCTTTTTGTGTGTCAAGAGCGACTTGAGAAACTGCAAGTCGCTTCTGGTGTGAGAGAATTGGCCGTCTGCAAGGATGTTGCCCATGGGACCCTTGTATGTTTGATGTTTTACCATCCTTGTGGGAGGCTTCTCTCATGTCCCTGCATGGGGAGCTGGAGCTGATAGAAGGGACCTCAACCCACTCTCCCCAGATTCAAACCGCTGACCTGTCACTCTGCAGTCCTACCAGTACAATGGTTAAACCCATTGCGCAACCAGGGGCTCCTTTCTTAGTGCTGATGATGTATTTGCAATCAATCCAACAATAGATGGCAGCTGCATGATCTTCACTCCTAGTCTTCAGGCTAGCACTCAGCTTCACTGGATTTGGACAAACTGCTGTAATATAATATATTTTCAAGTTGTGTGCTTGAAATCATTTCAGACGTATGGCAACCCTGTCTCAGGATTTTATTTTTTTGGCAAGATTTGTTCAGAAAAGGGTTTCCATTGCCTTCCTCTGTGGTTTGAGAATGTGACTTGTCCAGGGTCACCCACTAAGTTTCATGGTTGAACCCTGTTCTCGAGAATTGTAGTCTAGTGCTCAAAACACATTCAATGCAAATAATAATATGCAGATGTATATAGTGGATTTGAATTCCAGTTAGGAAGAGTTCTATTGACAATGGTCCAGTAGCAGGATGGCCTTTTTTTCTTGTCAGGAGTGACTAGCGAAACTGCAAGTCGTTTCTGGTGTGAGAGAATTGGTCATCTGCAAGGACGTTGCCTGTCCACCCAGATGTTTTGATGTTTACCATCCTTGTGGGAGGCTTCTCTCATGTCCCCGCATGGGGAGCTGGAGCTGACAGAGGGAGATTAACCC